AATTATAACATCTAAAGTCTATTAAAACAAAAGCAGGAAAAGGAAAGAGGGAGGAGTGCTTTATTTTTGGGAAAATGAAAACACGGAATGCTAAATAGCTAAACATACCATTTTACGTGTACATATAAATTTTTTATATAATAATGTGTTTGTTTAATCTTAAGTAAACCATAGTAGTTTATAAAAAATTATCATATATCACAAGCATCAGTGGCGGATCCAAAAAAATAATATGTGTAGGGCACAAATAATATATAATTAATCATATAAAATCAATATAGTTAATATATGAAATAAATATACTTTTCCATTCTTAATTTATTTTAATATTTAAAATCTAAAAAACCCCAAAATTTTGAAATACTATTTCTTTTGGTTTCTAAATACTTAAACTACATATATTAGTTTTATTTAAAATGTAAATTATATCTAAAAATATCACACAAATTTAGACTCTAATATATTAACTAAACTACAAAAATAGATAATATTGTTAACTAATATTGCAAACACTTATTTAATTGAAATGTATGTATACTTTACCGTGAAAAGATGATTTAAAATTTGTGTAAAATATAGAACTAAAAGAACATAGTAAACTAATTTTTTATTTTTTTAAAACATCTATCAACGAAATTATATTAAACTAACTATTAAATTAAACTCAAAAAAACTATTTTGAAATATCGAAATCATATATTTAAAAATAATTATAAATATCTTCTATAAATATTTTTACTTAATTAATATTTTTAAGTTATTATGAAACAACCTTTTTAGTATAATCAACGATGAGTATAATCAATGGTTAACCCCTTTAATGCAATGGTTAACCCTTCAAGCATTAAAAAAATCTAACGTAATCAGCCCAAGAGGGTAAATTACTCATATATTCATATATATAAAACTAATGAAGATAATGAAGCATCAACATCGATAAGTTAAGAGAAAAGATAAAGAAAACTTGTTTACATGGAGGAAGCTACCTATCCAACCTAAGAGTGAACTCTTACATGTGTAGATTAACGTTATAGTCCATATTGATTTTGTAAGAACGAAATCTTATACAATATAGTTTTGCTATTTGATCTCTTTATTTTTCCTTGAACCTGCAACTTTAACATGTTCATTGTTTAGTTATAAAAAGACATTCTAATAGCAAAATTAATAAATGAGGTAGTTTTGACTTCTGTCACTCCAACACGGTTTTAATGCCTATCGCCAGGTTGGAGACTTTCAATTAGTCATATACGGACTAGACTTTATTGAATTTTGTAATTAATTAGACTTTATTATTAAAAAAAAAAAAAAACTCTCAATAAGATAAAGATGTAGTTCTAATAAAGAGATTCCAAAAATTATTATCTGCTCTACTGCATCTTCCACTACAATGAGTCCATGCCTATTTAAAAGTTTGAATTTTAAAGATTCACATTTGGTTGGTTCATATTCTTTGGGAATATTCTCACTTGTTCATTGCCAATTGGAATTTGCCACTCATGTCAAACTTCGTTAAAGTCGCACTAATAACGGAAAGAAATTAAAATGCCATTGACAAATTATCACTAATTTTATTTTCTCAAGTCCTTTACCAATATTTTTTTTGATATGTAAGAACTTCGATTTGTCCTTTATATTATTATAAATAAATAAAAATATATATTGGTAAGATACCGTTGTCGACGTTAGCTGGGACATGGTCTGATGATCTGATATCTGATGACGTCAAGTGGCTCCAATTTACCCTGAGATAAAAGAAATAAATTACGTCAGCATCATTTATTACTATAGCCCCCATATGTCCGTCCATGTGACCACTCCCCCCTTTTCCTTCTCTTCTAATTCTTCCACTCTCTCATATGTGCACTCTTCATTTGCGTGTGCTACACGCTCCAATTTTGTCTCAAACTCCCCTCTTTTCTACTAATGTTTTCAAATACAAATTACTTAGCTTTTTTTTTTGTCGCTATGAAATTTTATTATAGAAACTTGTTGTGGAACCAAGGAAAGAATACATATGCCCAAACATGGAAAACTTAAGTCGGCGGACAAACTAAAAGTCCCCGAAGTCACTGTCGGAGAAGAAACGAAATTCCCCGAAAACTAAGCCCTATCAAAGGGAAGCAAAGTAAGGCGAAACTAGAAATACAAAGCAGATAAAAACAAACCAGAATCGAAGGAGGAAGACTCCATAATCTAAAAGCCGAGGCAACAAGGTAGAAACCTTAGGAGAAAGGATAGAACCAAGAGAACAAAGAAACCTCTTCTTCTGAAACACCAGCGAATGCGATTTATCACGGCTGCCCACGGCCAAACCAGAAATAACATCTACCACCTCCTATCACAATGAGAGCCAATCTCTCGAAAACCAAGTTAATGATGACAAAATACAAATTACTTAGCTATAAGTCTGTAAATTAAAAAAACAAAGTTAATGATGACAAAATAAAAATAAAATTTTTTTATAAAAGTATTAAAAATTTAAATTACAACATAAAAATAAAATTTAGAAGGGTCCATAATTTTTTTATTATTGTTTTTAGTTTTAATAATTAAATTTTTAATAAAAATATCATACAATTTTTTTATATAACACAAAGAACACACAAAAAAAAATTCTAAGGGCCTAAATTTTTGTTTGCCCTAGGGCCTATAATACTGTTGAGCCGGCACTGATGGTATTACGTAGATAATGTCATCTAATAACTTGTATAACGTGCATATATATAATGTGTATTAAGTAAACGTTAAATTAGAGGTTGGGGTTCAATTGGCGGACCTAGAAATATATTTTACCGGGGTCAATATTGTTAACTTTGTTAAGAAGATGAAAATTACATAATTAATTTTCTGTATGTATTAATAAAAATTGTATTTTTTTGAAATTTTAGATTTTTTTTAATCAAAATACATAAAGAATGATGTTTTTTTGGAAAACAACAAATTAAACAAAGTAATTAGATATAAAATGAATAAAATAATGAGTGCAAAAAAACTCATTATGGATGCATAAGAAAACAATTTAAATAGGGGGTGCAAAAAGGAACTAATGAAGTTATCAATTAGTGATAATTGCTAGAACTAAAGACTGATTTCATAATTTTAGGGGGGTCAGTTGACCCACCTTTGCTGAACATAGGTCCGCCGTTGGGGTTCATGTACTTGCACTAGCAGTTTTTATAATGTTCTAATTTGTTTAAGAACGGAATAGTTATTGTTTTTGTGCTCAAACAATAATTGAAACGATGTTATTAATTAACCACGGAGATGGTCCCTAAAACTTGTTTGCACATGTGCCAACCAAATTTTGAATATAGAAGTAAATATTATAACCATTTTTTTTCCAGATAGGCAGAACGTACGAACCCGTAGAATCATATTCAAATTTTGTCTTTTGTCCTTATTAGCATTTTATTTGAAAAGGCATTATTAACGTCATGGGATTCAAACAATAAACAGCAAGAAGTCGTAAGATTAACGATGATGCTGCCGTATAGCGTAAATATCAAGTTATATAGAAATATTTTGAGGATCTCGTCCACCACGTACGCCAGATTTCATGGAAAACTCAAACCAAAATGTGTTTCTTTTATGTTTGGGTTATTATTCCTTTTATATCAATTTACATACTATGGGTCTAAATAGTAACCGAGAAATCTGGCTGAATCCGGTTGAATTACTGAATCTGGCTGAATTTTTAGTGATTTTTAGCTGAATCTGGCTGAATTTTTACATTTTCAAATGGTAACCGCTGAATCCAGCTGAATTTTTTTGTGTTTTTTAGCAGAATCTGTCGAAATAATTAAGACTTTAACTGAAATATCGTCAAATAATTACGAATATTAATAGAATAACTAAGGAAAATTATCTAAATAAAATAGATAAAATTATCTAATAGTCTAATTAACTCTTATACTAATAAATAAATACTAGAATTAATATCTTTTTAGCAAAATTGAGTTGTTCTTCCAAATCTAATTTTTGAACTATTAAAAAGATATAATTAATTAATAGAAAGCTTTGTCAAAGTTTTATTGAAAAATTAATTTAAAAATAAACATGATAATATAATATAGATTATCTTATTGATTTTTCATTGTTCTCTAGTAGTTTAAATCCTTAATATGATTAGGATGATTAACAAAATTTTTTTAATTTGATATTTTAAATATTATTTTAGCATAAGTATGAGTTATTTTTGCAAAAATTTGGAAAATTATATTTAAGTATCTAAAATTTATTAAAATTGTCTAAAAATATTTATAGATATCTGAACATAAATATGTGTCTTGTCTATTCTGGTAATGATTTTATGTGTATGAATTATTCATATATCGTATTTGTATGATCTAACTTATTTTAAAATATAAATTTGATGTGTAATTTTTAATAGCCAAAATATTTTAATTCGAGTTGTGAATCGCTATAATCCAAATTTTTATCTGAAATGAACATACTATGTATCTGTTGATGTTGGAAAAACTGTTGAATCTGGCTGAATTTAGTTTTATACAAATGGTAACTACGGAATTGCTGAATCTGGCTGAATCTGGCTGAATATTTTTTTTGATGTTACCATTTACACTCTATCTAACCTAACAAGCTGTAATAGTATACTAATATACGTAGTTGTAATATGGTACATGCATGGTTACGTTGCATACATGAGAAAATGTTTACATATATGTCTCGTATATGTGAGTGAGGGCACATATACAGAACATTCTAATAAAAGAAATAAAAACCGCTGATTTGATGGATATTAATTTATTCATGTACAATGTAACAAATCTTTGAATTTCTAAGATAATACCAATAAAAATATCTAGTATTCCACTCTTAGAAGCCAAATAACCATTATATATCAACTTTATATATATATATATATATATATATATAATTTAGAATTTGGAATTTTAGACCAATCTGTATGGTTGAACAAAAAAAAGACCAAGGTATATGTCATAAATAAGAGGCGACCAATCTGTCGAAAACAAATTTAAAGTGACAAAAAATATATATATTAAAAACACAAATAAAATAAATAATTTGCTAATGGTTACGTCATTATAGTGACACCCAATTTCTCCATTTATGGTCGCTCTCATCTCGCGTTGACATCAACAAAACTCCCACTCTCTCTCTCTCTCACTTTCTCTAACTCTTTCTCTCTAATGAAGACGATGCGAGGTTTACGAGACTGCTCAAACGACGCCGTAACGCTAGACCTGACGGTTCTTCCTCCTCCTCCAGCACCACCAACAGTCTCCTCCTCCACCGCCTCGACGAGCCTTTCGTTCGATGAAGAGGAGACATCAGAGTCAAAGATTGGACGGCTGATATCAGAGCATCCAGTCATCATATTCACTCGATCTTCCTCATGTTGCATGTGCCACGTCATGAAGAAGCTTCTATCGACCGTCGGAGTTCACCCAACAGTGATCGAGATCGACGGCGGTGAAATTGCTTACCTCGCCGTTGAAGCCGCTCCGGTGCTTTTCATCGGTGGTGCTTGTGTCGGTGGCTTCGAGTCACTTGTAGCACTTCACCTAAGTGGTCAGCTTATTCCTAGACTCGTTGAGGTTGGAGCCTTATTGGCATAATTGTAATTTTCTGTATTTTTTTCTTTCTTTCCAAGTTAGCCTATTTATAACCTAATTAAAAAAAATCTGATAAATAATATCCATTGTGAAAAATTCCATTAATTCACTCTTTCTTAGAAACATAAAAATGTTTCCTTTTTTTTTGTTAATCCAGTGCTGGTTGTTTATTTCATATCTTTTGCCAGTTGGTAAGTGTTGTTTAGATCATCACGTGTAAGATTTATTCCATCATAATTATATTATTTATTTGTGAATGATTTCCGTTTCTTTAGTTTCCGTATTGAACTATATATATGTTGAACGATGTGAGGAGAAAAAACTAATGTGCTGATGTTAGACAGGGTCCAAATATAATTTTATTTCTAAAGAGTAATTTTCTTGATTAAATTGGGGAGGCAAAATGAAAAAGAGGCATTAAGTACAATATTATGTCATCGATGACCGGTCTCTAATAAATATTGACCTCGAAATTATGAAAAACTATATATTATTAATATGTAAATAGAATCCGTTGATTACCACGGAATCTGACTGCTATCTTTCTCTTGGACAATTTCGGTATCTGAATTTTATTTTATTTTTTATTGTATCTTAAGAGATTTTGGCCCAAAGAATCTTTAGGGTGTCAATCGCAATTATTGCACAATCACTTCATACTATTATTTTACCAAAGTTTTGATTGTAGAATTCACAACCCCATATGTAAACAGTATGTATTGAATCTTTTATGAAATTTTGCCGTTATCACTCAACTAGCTCGCCTAATTGAGATATCAACCTACAAATCGAATTGTCTCTTTTCGGTAACACGATTCACCCTAGCTAGACGAATTTTGTCAAGATGCTTATGCTTTTCATTTTTTCCGTTGCGTTGAATTTTCGAATACTGAGCTTTCTTAAATGATATAGGGCTAATCTAAAATTTTAAACATCATTATATTTATTTTCTGGTCAGAAAAATATATTATTAGTTTTGTCCGCAAAACACTTTCACATGTCAAAAACAAAAAATCTACCCGTAGATCCATACCTACCCATCACGCAAATAAAATATGTCTAGGGAGCTCCTCAGTGGTGGGGTGGGGCTTGGTTAGCCTTTGGGGGAAACAAGTTATTTTTCTCTTTTGAAACACCAACAGTTTTTATGATTTCATTATCATTTATTCTATTCTTTTTGTTACAATATATAGTAAAATAGTTATGATAAGGACTTTTTATGAAATAATCAATCATGCAGTTATGTTATGTTATTTTTTTTCGAAATTTGGTCGTTGCAGTTGTGTTGCTCATAACCGCAGCAACGGCATATCACCATTCAAAGTATGCATGAAGAAATATAATTAAACAGAAAAGGGGATCAACTTGTATAAACCCATGATCTATAGTTTGATATATGTTTTAATTATTGAAAAGGCAGAGTAGCAATAACCAATGAGAGTTGAATGATGTAATGCACACACATTATTATATATAACGACAAGATTAAAAAGAGAGATACCTAAAGAAGCGAAATGATTAAAAGGCAACATAAGTGAAGGTGAGTTACAATGGCCACAGTTTAAAGGATACAGAAAAGACAAGTGTATGATTAATGAATGCAGCTGAGAGACCTCCACCACAAATTTAAAAAAGGGCACTGGTTAAAATCCCAAAATCTATTTTCATAACAAGTTGACAATCTCTTTAAGATAATAAAAACATTAAACATATCTCGAAACAAAAGAACAAAGTGGGGAAAAAACAAGGGTATTGTAGTAAAAGAGCAGAAATGACGTGGTGGAATTTTCATAAATCATTGTGTATTTTATTCTCTGTGTTTTTTTTATAAAGAAAATAGCATGGATTTAATACAATAAAATATAGGATTTAGTTACGAAAATGCTATGGCATCAATTTTGCAAATATTTCCCAGAATCATGCTAACTCAGTAAAGAAACCAAAAAAAAGCTTTGTCATAATTTTTTACTTAAAAATGTTGAAAGAAAATGGAGATCCAAAGTTCAGATATTTCTTTTTCTTCTTAACAATGCTTAAACTCTACAAGGCTGTCATGTTTTGTGCTTGAACATGGACGGTCCCTAAAAAATCTGAGCTCATATACCACTCAGCCACCACTAGTGAACTGACCACACTATTTTAGTATAATTCTAACAATTTTATACTCTTTATAATTGTTGATGGAAAAATTGATTGTCTTTTAAAAAAGAAGAGCAATTTCATTGTCCTGAAATCATATCAATCAGAAAACCACTCCCTCTAATGTTATATATGATGGTATCCATTTGATGTATAAATTAGAGTAAAAGAATGTATCAATATTTGATATTTTAATTTAATAATTATTATTTGATAGTTTAGTCTTGTTAAATTTTGATATATAGATCATCGATTAAAATAAATTCTTGGTTGTCCCTGGAGGAGAATCAATTGCTAAACACTATGGGACTCATGACACACTAGTCTTATTGATAGAACAGGAGAAGGCTTATTATTATTCGTGCAAATTCAATAAGAAACATGAGAAGGCTAATCTTTTACCCAAAGAAACGACAATAACCACACCAATAACTTGAATACAAAAGATGCATAAATCTTAAAACATTCAGCAGTTCATGACAAGATAAGAAAAATCTTTAGGGCAGTCCAAAGATTATTATTATCAATATTATATGATTCATTAATAAGTTGGGTTTGAATTGATTTGGGCATTTCTCATGCTCCAAGCTTCCAGGGACGTCATGATCACACCCTTTTCTCCATCATTGAACACATACAGCTTAGCTGCTTCGCCAATTGCCAATTTTGGATAAACCCTAGATGTTATCACACTTTTTCCTCCTGCTCCGTAGCTCTCTATAATCGAGTGATCGATCTATAGACGACGACGACGACGACAACAACAACAACAAAAAAGGTGGTTTTCAGAGTTTAAATTGTTTAAAATAAAATGTCTTAATTAGGGTGAATATATATAAAAGAAACAACATTGCAAAATGGCTTAATTTAGCTCACCAAACATCTTAATGAGATCTTCTCATGCCTTGGATCAATATCTAGGAATGTTCCATGCGAAGATTTTTTTATGTTGTCTCTCAACGAAGACCTACGTATATATTACCATTTGTTAAAACAAAACATCATACTTACACATGATAGAGAAACTAACATTTGGTTTCATGTTGTTAGATCAAATTCACATTATTACCTCTTCTCGCTGCTGCCCATTACAACTGCATATCCGTTTCCGCGACGAATAACTTTAAAGAAGATTGCGGTTTGTTCTGATAAATCATTGGTAGCCAATGCTAGCAGTCCAAAAGGCCCGTAAACACATCCATCCGAGTTGTCATGATCAAACAGAGTCGCATCATCAACTTGGTCAGCATCAAGTATCTCGGGATAATCGTCCAGGAAAGGCAGATTAAAAGTCACCTCTACGTCGGCCTTTAACAACAACAAGAGAAAGATAAATATATACAAGTTGTTGAAACAAAATAGTATTAGCCTAATGATTCCAGAGAAGACGTGTTAATATTACTGATATTTGAGATTTATACAAGTTTTAAAGTTTTTTCAAGTTAAAAACGTAAAATCTCAAATACAAAGATGAACCTTGTTATTTTAAATGGATTTTTAAATATTACTACTAAAATCCATATAGTGACTATATCATGAATGAATTCTACCAAATATTTACCTGGTTTTACAGATCTATTAAAAATACATAAACTACCACCTCAAGAGTTTTATCTGACTTCATTAAATTTTATTTTTAATAATATGGGACTCCTAAGTCCTAACAAAACACTCTGAGAAAACTTACTTGGGCAGCAGTGATGCCTGAAATTTCGAAGGTCGAGCCGGTTTCGAATTCATAGCAATCAAGGCTAACACTTTTGGTCCGGAGATTGTTGATTTCTTCAATTGGCCATTGTATCAGCTTCTTTCCATTTGTGTCCAGCCACATTTCCCTGGGAAGAGACTAAGCCAAAAACAAACCAATTAATCCAATTTCTTGACAAGTAATCTCTACTCTACAATTACTTAAAATAAACCTTATATCATATTTACCATAAGGTTTATCATATTTACCATAATGTTAAACCAAAAAAAAATATATATATATTTACCATAAGGCCAGCCCATCCTTTCTTGAAATCATCTTCTTTGCTATCAGTCTCTATGACCCATCCCCAGTTGATCCTCCGATTTTTAACACTATCGAAGAACGCCTTCGAGGCATAAAACTTTCCATAATCATATCTCAAATCCGCACTAGTGTTAGTGAACTCATAATCCGCTGAAAATTCTTCATTCTCAGAAGAGTATTTACCAATGACATAGCAATCATTGCCTCCAAAACTCGCCTTCACGACATGCCTCACAGTAGCATTGTTCACTGAAGTGTCAACACCTTCTTTACCAGTGACAGAAACCGGGAAAAAATCAGGGCATTCCCACATTCCGGTTCCTTCTGACTCAAGTAAAGGCACTGTATACTTTGTCCACTGGACAAAATCATCGCTTCGGTACAAAATAGCCATTCCTTTCTCAGTATCTTTCTCCTTAGCTCCTATGAGCACTCTCCATTTCCCATCTTGCCCTTGCCACGCCGTCGTTGGGTCACGGAAACAATTAAAAGGGACATTACTTGGCGGAACCATCACAGGATTGTACTTTGGCTTAACCCACTCACGAAGCAAAGGGTCAGAAACGTCCTTTGGTTCGGCAACAACTGTGACTTGCTGTTTGTTGTTATCGTCGAGTCCGGTGTACAAAATTACAGGTCTGCCATCGGGGAGGATCGTGGCGGATCCTGACCAGCAGCTGTTGATGTCAAAGGGCTCAGAAGGAGAAAGGGCTGGTTCAAGTTGGATCCAGTTGACCATATCTTGTGAAACAGAGTGCCCCCATATCATTATTTTACTGAAATCAGGAGCCAAAGGGTTGTGCTGGTAGAACAAATGGTAGAATCCTTTGTAGTACATTGGCGCTGAAACAACATTTATAATATAAATATTTCATCATATAATAACAACTTGGGGTTCCTCGTGTCACAAGCTAATGATTGGTAGAGTATTTAAGTACCGTTTGGATCTTCAGATTTCCAAAATGCATCCAAGCACCATAAGTGACATAAAATTAAGACAATCGTTAGTTTTAAATATCTTGTTGTAGAAATTAATAACCTGATTCAGTGATTAATTGCAATAAACAGAAATTAACCATTGTTTTATTTTTTTCCGGTTTTATGAACTAATAATACTATAAGAGATATTTGCCAATATGATATTTAGTTCACAACCAACATGATCTATATATGAATATAAATAGGAGGAAAAAGAAAGAAATAGAACCGTTGAGCCAATTTCTCTGAGGTTGGAAATGGAAGGAAGTCCGGTTAAGCTGGTTGTCTTGAAGAAGATTCTGTGCCATTGCCTCAGCCATCGATGATCGGTCTTACTCGGCAACGAAATCGACCCTCAAGGATTACGAAAATGATGTGTGTATGTGTTGCTTTCTTTTATGAATTACTCTTGAGATCTTGCCAAGATCAAATGATTATAGAGTCGTCAGAGACAATCATCGTACTTATAATGCCATTGGCGTTGACATTGACAAACTCTTCTTATTCTGTCTTAATCTCGAAGTATCGTGGAAGAAACTCTCAGATAGTTGCTAATTATATCTGCTTAATTTTATTATAATTATTGATTAAGCTTTGTAGTCGTCAGTCTTTGTTAATGGTACATTGTAGGTAAAAGGTCTTTGAATTATTCATTAAATGTGATTTCTATTATTATTGCGGAAACTTCATCAAGTGGAGTTATATATATTTTAGTCAATGTGGTCCTTAGTCATTGTTTATGAAAAAGTTTACCCCTGATGAATTAATTACGGATTTTGCCCTTTTTTATAATGGTATTTATGGATTTTGCTCTTTTTTGAATAATTTATGAATTTTGCCCTTTTTAGGCTCCAAAAATATGATTTAACATGCGTTTCATTCGTTATGTTTGTGTTTAGTCGATTCCAGTTGTTCTTAGGGTTTAGTATTTGGTATAATGTACGTATTTTTGAAAAAAAAATCATAAGTACGTATATTTTTAAGTGTTAAAAAGGGCAAAATCCATAAATTATTTAAAAAAGGGCAAAATTCATATATAACATTATAAAAAAGGGCAAAATCCGTAGTAATAATCCCATGACACTTTCAAGTCTCAATAATTTAATCCTTTGTATTAAAAACAAGGAGACGGCATCGTATGGCTTCTTAATCCTTAAGTCGTTGAAAGCACCAAGTAATCACACCAATAAGAAGAATGTGGGGTTCATGATTAGCACCAAGTAATTAGACCAATAAGAATATTAGGATGTTTTTAACAAATAGTATCATATTATTTTATCTGATAGCAAGCTATTTTACTTGGTATCATACTATTTGTTAATCAAATGCAAAAAAAAATAGGCCATTTATTTACAATATTGCCACGACGTCTTTTTGCCAGTATTGCTAGCTAATATCTTTGGATTGTTCATTAGTTGTCATTTCTATGATTGAGAAAACTTAGGCAGGCGGGGTTAAAATATGTTTAATCAACTTGGTCTTTGATATGTATTAAAAATTTTCTCTTTTCAATATGCAATCATTTAGGGTCCTAAAACCCTCTATATTTAAAAAAAAAAGAGATGCTTTTTTTTTTACTCCTTACATTTCATAAAAAGTGTCATTTTTATTACACTAAGAGTGAAAGTAATTCAAATTTTATGCATTTTTTTTTGACAAAATATTCCTTTTCTAACTTCAAATCAAAATGATCCAAGAGTCACTTATCTGATTTTCTTCCTAATCCTGATTTTCTTAATAGTTAATACGGATTTTCTTCCTAATCCCAAACGTTGAACATATCATTCATTAAATCACTTTTATATCTGTATAAGAAATTCCGAGTCCCTTTAAGCTGAGGTATCTCCTCCGCGCGACGATGTCGGAGACTCGCCGGAATCAATCTAGCCATGAACGAATCGACAACTCGGGTAAGCTTCATCTCCTTTCTCGATCCTAAATTGTACCATTGTGTTTTTGATCCATACGCTTCTGATTCTGACATTTCGCTATCATTTGGATTTTACTGCGATTTTGATATTGTGAGGTTATTATGTTCAAATTGTTCCTACAACTACCAATTCGATTGTATTCGGCTTTTCAATGTTTGATTGATCATAGAACAGGCTTTTGTATCTGCTTGAACATTGTTGGTGATTGGATTTTTGTCTGGAAATTCTTGGCAGAGATTCAACAGCGAAGACTTGTAATTGAGAACAGTCATGGTGAGAAACTCGTAGGAGTTTTGCATGATACGGGTTCTATAGAGACTGTTGTCATCTGCCATGGATTTCGGTCATCAAAGGTTTGCTTTTTTTTTTTTTTGGTAGCATTCTCATCAGATTTCAACATTTGCAAACTTCCTTTGATTCACATTTTAGATTCCACGAAACTTTGAATTTGTATTGGTTTTCTCTAAACACTTTAATCTTCATATATATTTACTTCTAGGATCGGATTCCAATGCTGACCATTGCCAGTTTCTTTGAGAGAGCGATGATCAGTTCTTTCCGGTTTGACTTCGCTGGCAACGGGTGAATTGTTACTTCCCTTTCTTTCTTTTTAAGTGTTTGTTGCTTTACTCATGTTTCTGAACTTCAGGGAAAGCCAAGGATCATTTCAGTATGGTAACTATCGCCGTGAAGTTGAAGATCTGCGCTCTGTTCTGCAACACTTGCGTGGGGTTAACCGTGAGATTTCTGCGATAATTGGACATAGTAAAGGTATATATGAACGTAAAACTAATGTCGATTTCGTGTTTCTGAATTCAAGAAAGAATAGAGCTTTGTTGTTCTTGTCACTGAATTTTGTGCAGGTGGAAATGTGGTGCTTTTGTATGCAGCAAAGTACAAGGATGTGCAGACTGTTGTGAATATCTCCGGCCGGTTTTTTCTTGAGAGAGGAATCGAAGGCCGGCTTGGTAAGGACTATTTCAAGAGAATCAAAGAGAATGGATTCATAGATGTTAGTAACAGAAAGGGTAATTCTTTCAGCTTTTTTGTTTTGTTTTGTGATTGTTAGAGCCAGAAAACATAGTGTTTGGCATTTACCGGTACTGTTAGAGGCAACTCTTCCCCTTTATTCGTTGCAGGAAAGTTTGAATATCGGGTAACAGAAGAGAGTCTAATGGACCGTCTCACAACCAATGCTCATGAAGCATGTCTCTCAATTCATGAAAACTGCAGGTCTATCCTCATACCTTATAAGATTTTGTCTCTTTTGGTTTCATTCTATAATAGAGGAACTAATGATTCTCTTAAAATTTCAGGGTCTTAACAGTCCATGGGTCAAATGATAGGATTGTGCATGTAACAGAAGCGTCCGAATTTGCCAAACATATAAAGAATCATAAGCTGTGTCTTATTGAAGGAGCTGATCATGAGTTCACTTCTCACCAGCATCAGCTTGCTTCTATTGTTCTCTCATTCTTCAAATTGGATCCCAAGAAAGATGATGAGTCAGGTGATATCAGTACAAGTAACCAAGACTCTATGAGATCAGTTGTTCCTATTACATCGCGAATTTAAACAGCTTAGCTGAGTTATTTATTGTCGCAGGTGTGATAATAAACGGTTTGAAATCAGTTAAACACAAGTAGAAACCAGAATGATCTTTTGCTGTATAAAATCTTGTTGTTAGGATACAGTCTGGTTAAATGTCTCAACACAAAATCGATCATAAAGGTTTCACTTGGTTTCTTAGGCCTGGTTTAGCATCAACTTTTGAATCTAGCTGCCCTAAACTATTGGCTTATAAGACACACGAGATCACTGGTTTGGCCGATGAGAGTATATTTGGTCTTACAAAGCTGATCATGCGGTCAAGAACGAAGAACGCATTCATTTCAAGACGCATTTTAAATATTAAGACACCCAAAAAGAGAAATGTTTGGAGAAACATGTATGGAATTATCGCAACCCGAATAAGAAAGTAGTATGATTATCCAACTATACGTTATGTTGAAAGTTATTATCATGATGCGATATCCTCCAAACACATAGGATAACTCAGGAACTAGCTCGTCTACATGAACCCGCCATGCCAAAACCGAGGACAAAGGTGATCATCAACCAGCCTGAACCTTCTTACCATCTTCGATGAAGAAAATGGATCTTTCAGGTACCTAGAAATTGGCAATGCAACAATCATAAGTTATCAAACGAATGCAGAGAGAACCAAGAACAAATTAGAAAAGGATAAGCTATGTTACGTCGGGCCAAGTGTCTGTAATGAATTCAACGATATCATAGATTATATCTCCTTGAACATCAATTTGCTCCTTTTCAGTTGGTCCCTGAAACACAGTATATTAGAAAAATCTCAGCATAAGAGGAAGAAAGTGGTAAAACAAATTGGTTCAGATGCAGTAAGGGGTCAAAAGTCATATATGTAGAGAAGAAGACTTCATACTTTTCTGTGGAGCCCAAATTTTAAAATTAGAGACTCAACAGGTCTAAAGCAGTTACAAACTCTAAAAAACCATAAGCTCTGCTCAACAAGATCAGCTAGAACAAAACCAAACTCACTAATCTGTCTAAGCATAAAACCTATTTCGTATACATATTTGATTTGTAATTCATCCTTTACATACATACCTTGACAACTGATGCTCCAGTGGCAAACTTCTTCCCAAGCTTTTTAGAGGCGTCACTTAGTTTTATCCCTGACGAAAAAAATTTTAGGGTTAAAAGAATGAGGTATGTTCCAGCCAATAAGAATACTAAGATATCTCACAAAAGAAGTAAATAACTCACCAAACAGTTCTAGTCCTTTGACAATGGTGATACACTTGCGCTTGTTGCGTACAACCTTTTCAATAATAACTTCCTGTCGATCCTATATAGCATCCGTAAACATTAGAAAATTAGACAACCGGACAAACAGGTCCACGTCAAAGACGAAGGAGTGGAAACCGGAAAAGTAAACGCAGATATGTGAGTCAACTGAAAAGTGTATGTTTCCATGGAAACTTGGTAATGCATTAAGACATTCCAGTAAGGTGGAAGGAAGGTTACACGATATTACTTACTTTCTTTTTAACTTTTCCCCCAGGTAGGCGCTTCACTTCCTCCTTCTTGGATGTCCCTGCTATATATATTGGAAAACCCAGTGATTAATGAGTAGAAATTCAACTAAAAGCCAAATCCTTCCAACATAGACATCAACACCAATCAGTAACTCTAGAAATATTTATCATCCATGCTTAACAGTTCGATTGCAGAATCCCCAGGAAAAAAAATACATTACAGATGCTTCCAACCATTTACATAGCGATATACAGTTAAAAAATAGGTGTCTACAATAGAATACATACACCAAGTACATTTCAGATCAGTATTGAGAGAGTAAGTATACTTGCAACTATAAGTGCAGTCGGATTTACATGAACAAGCAAAAGCACACACATAGACGGTTACATACCAGTCTGAGCTGAAGATGGTGCCCCATCAGCACCACCTGAAGAGATTCCCACTGACTGGAGTTTGTCAGAAACATTATCTGCTGCCTTCTCATTAGCTTCTGAACACATTTAAAATTCATATTCAAAATCAAATATTAGTATGTTTTTTAAAATTAGATTAAACTCATTGTCATAAGCTGTAGAACAAAAGTGCAAAAGGTACAAAAAAAAAAAAAAAATCGAAAACTCTACACAATAGCATTGACAATCCAACATTACATAATCACCACCTTGAACAGACCATAATATATGAATCAAGCTAAAACAAAAAAGCTTTATATTTTCGATTGTGTGAATCTCTTAGCCCTTGGAAGAAATAGAAATTTTTTGAGGCACTAGTCATAAAGCTGACAAACCTAAAATCAAACGAGTCCTAAGAACTGGTCGAAACTTTGTAAAATTAGGGTTTGATTTATTTTTAGGTACCTTTGAGGAGATCAGGATAGAGATCCGGGGCGTTTTCGACGAGCCAGGGCTTACATCTAGCGAAATCGGGACCGAATTCGCAGTATTCGGCTGGTAGAGAGCAAACTCCGCAGTACAAAACCTTCACCGGCTCGAGCTTCTCCGCCATAGATAGTTCTTGTTTCCTTTGGAAAAGCGAAAATGAGATTCTTGTGTAGCAAAGTGATGAGGGAGATAATATGGGATTCTACGGCGGAATAATCCTTTTCCTTTTTTTTTTCTTCTGTTCGTCGCTTGCCCCCGCGAAGTTAATGATGTCGGAAAACCAACAGAGAAGACAAGTGAAAAAGGCTTAGGACATGTGTTGGGCTTTAATTTTAATGTAAAACTACAAATGTTTTTGATATTTTGGTTAACTTGGTTCTATTTGGGCCTTTACATGGTTCTTGGGTTTTAAACATAAACTTCTATCATTTGCTTCAATATTAGAGGCCTTTTTAAAAAATCTAAGAGATATGCATGTCATGGTTAATTCTAAAAAAATTATGAATTATTGGCATTGCCAAAAAAAAATCATTTAAGGTCTCATACATTTTACTATGCATGTCTTCTTCTATCATGATTCTAATGTGTAAAGTCCGTGTAAGCAAGTCTTCTTTACCGTTTTTTTTCTTTTTTTTGTGTCTTTCTTTTTGGTTTGTACTTTGTACTGGATATCCGGTCACCGACTCAAATATATGCCGACGTTGGAGGTCATGCGCTGAATTAAATATGATGACTTATTGGCATTGGCAAATTATTTATTTACGTCATATACCATATTCAATTACAAGTCTTTTTTTTTTTTGAGTCGCACCAAATACGCTATTGTCAACTTTTTTTTCTGCAGTTCTCCTTTGCCATTTTGGGTAACGCCATATGTCCCTTGGACAGATTCCTTTTTTCTCATTTTTGGACACACCGACATGAAGTCGTCGTCGTCCATAGTTGGATAAGATTTCACGAGTCTATCCCTGGTCAGAGTCAGTTACAAATAACCTCTCCAAAAGTTTACTTATAATAATTAGTTATTAAAAAAAAAAAAAGTTTCTTAGATAAATGAACCATTTATTCATGTTTTCGGACAGCATGGCCGGGAAACTTGTCTTTTTGGAGACTCTGATTGGCAAGATATAATTTAATGTTTATATCAAACCATATAACATTCATGAATGGAGTGATCTGTATTAATGTTATACTACATGCAACTGCTAGAAAAAAAAATAGTATATGCACTTAAGACGATTCACATTTCTCTTAATTGGTGTAGTATAATGCGAAGAGATGGTTCAACATCTAACATTTAACACATCTCTTGTGTTCTTCATTGGTCTCTTCATAAACCCCACGCATCTTTTTGCATTTTTAAGGTTCTGTTTTATTACTACTATGATCTTCACTTTAATGCTCTCACTATAACGCAGTCACTGCAATCTCCAGCTTTTTAGTACTCCCATTCCCTTATAAGTATTACATTTATATTTGTATATATAAATTCAAACAAAGAAAGTTCCAAACAAAAAAAAAAAAACAAAAATCCAAGTATTTTTTTTTAGAAGCTGTGAATTCTCTGGCCTTCTTCTACTTGACAATATCTTATCTCTCTCTCTCTGACTCTTCTCTGAAAATTTTTAACTAACAACTGAAGAAATTTTTTTTTGGATCATTCCAAAAGTTTCACAAAATCCAGAAAAAAATAAAAATAAAAAGATTTTCAATTGTGAAAATATCAAATCCCCTCTAAAAACTCCATTTCCAGACTTTGACACTTAGATCAGACTTACACTTAGATTTTTTAGAAGTTGCTACAATTGGAGTTTTACCTTTTGGTATAGTTCCTTCAAATCCTTCACATGTCACTTTGATCTCTACTCCTTCACTCTTCAGCTTCCCCATTATCATCTTCACTTTAGTTCTCATCTGGATCTCAAATACCACACGCGCGCGCGTCAGATCTGATTTCAAATGCTTAGCTTCATCCGGATCTAACTCACGCGCCGTTGTTGACGTAGCGATCACGCCGTGAAACGACGTCTTGTTACCGTTATCGCTGAAGAAAGCAGGAACAGTTCCGTTACCGAGCATCGTACCGGATTTGGCTGATTTAACGGTGACGGTGAAAGGATCGTATGAGAAAGTGAGGTGTTGATTTGGATTCTCTGAGAGTAAAGTGAAGTTGAAGAAGGAAGAGAGATGAGAGACGGAGGAATCAGAGGCGGTCGTTAGATTTACGCGGCTGATTCGTAGCGACGGGACGGAGAACGACGGCGGACGAGGGTGGTAGATCACGTACATCGCGGTGGCGGCGATTGCTGTCATGAGAGCTAAGATCAGAATTATCAGAATCGACCAGAAACAGCAACAGCAGCAAATTCGTCGGCAGCTTGGTCGAGATTGGTGATGATGACGGCGACTGTAAGGCTGTGGACGGTAAATCGGACGGTTAGCCGGAATATAGACTTGAGGTTTCTGATTTGCCATTCCATTGGCTGTTCCGTTGCTGGTTACTGTTGCCGGAGCCGGAGGAGGAGGTATGGAACCACCTGGTGGAGCTCCATTAGTGGCGGTTGGTGGTTTGGAAGCTGGGAAGACTCGGTCAGTCATCTTCTTCTTCTTCTCCGATTGTTTCTTTCTCTGGTCAGATCTGAGCTCAAGAAAGAGAGAGAGATAGTGAGAGAAAGAGAGAGACAATACAGAGTTTTTGTGGAATCTTAATAGCTTTAAATTTTATTTTTTTTATTAATTTTTGAGTTTATTTATTTATTTTCGGTTTTCAGTTTTTCTTAGATTTTGTGAATGTTCATGACTTCCATGCCAAGTCTGTGGAATCTTTATTGGGTGGTAAAATAATTAAATGTAGATAGGTTTATTTACAAAGGGGCCCCAATTTATACAAATTTATTTCTGAAAAAACAATTTACACATGTGTAGTAGGAGTATCTTTTTAACGAATATTACTAAGCTGTGTTGTCGATATTTTTTTTCGTCTCCAATTTTTTGGTTTTAATAACTTCTTTTAACTCATTTTTTTTGTTGTCATCCGAAATTAATTAGGATTCAAAAGAGCTATTTCTAGAGAATGTTGTTTACAAATGTGATATGAAACGGTTTTGGACGATTTTTTCGTGTCAGATAATCCGCTTTTACATTAGCTTCGTTTAACTCAATATGAAAAAACTCACACAAATTTTAACTCGATAGTAACTTCTTTTAACTCTTTCTTTTTGTCATCCAAAATTAATTAGGATTCAATAGAGGTATTTCTGGAGAATGTTGTTTACAAATGTGATATGAAACGGTTCTTTACGAATTTTTTGTGCCAGATAATCCGCTTTTACATTAGCTTCGTTTAACTCAATATGAAAAAACTCACACAAATTTTTTCAAGTTTTAGTATTTCAAAATAGAGTAAATGGAAAGGAAAAATAAAGTGTTATCATGATTGTTAATGAGTATCCAGTTATCCACAAATCTAATGAAGAAGAATGGGTTAGAGTAACACATAGTGAGTTAAAATGAGTTAGAATGAGTTAAAGATGTAATTAAATATCAAAATGACGGAAATAATAATCCACCGACACATAGTGATAGTGGTAGCAGTTCACTTAAAATAAAATAAAAGAGTGCACGCAATTGAATAAGTTTGAATTTAAGTCAGTGGTGCAGGTTAAAAAAAGAGAAAAGAATTAAATGAGTGCAGATATTGGAGTAATAGATTAGGGATCCGAAATTAAAAATATAATTAGAATAATCTCCATTTGGTTCAGAGAGTAAATCCCAAGTCAATTATTATTTCATCGGCAATGCTGCTTTAACTTTTGTTAATAACCTTTGTTTCCGAGCTCTCAATTCCCAAGATTAAGCGTGATTAATAATTCAATAGCTCTCTAACTAAGTATAGTTACCAATTATCACCCGTCAAGTGTCCACACACCATAAAATCTTTTAAAACTAAATAAAACACTCAAGATCGATCACGTTTCATTAAAAGATAACTGCATTACAGAGTAGCATTGTCGGAAATCACAAGTGGTTCCAACCAGCAAGGTACATAGTAACATAAACATCAACGATGGAAACATAAAGGGGAAAAGATTGAGCCTACTTCACCAAACCATAAAGTCTGTCTATATACCCCAATAACATATGGTAAAGTTTGTTTCTAACGTCTTACTTTTATTACTTTGAACCAAAAGTTACATTGTCACTTGTCAAACAGCTAAATATATATATACAACTAGGAGTTGTCTCCTAGTGGTAAAGGACCTCCAGTTGGGGGTACCGCCACGTGGGTTCGATTCCTGGCCACTGCGGAATTCACATGGCGGCTGCAGGTTTTCAGGACCACGTCAGCTCCGCTATATACAATTACATAGTCAGGGATTATAGAGATGGATATAGTATGATGAGAGAAGCAAAGTTGTAAGCAAACCCAATCCAAGAAAGGGTCCTTGTGTAACAGGATCCAAAATTACAAAGGAGGCAGAGCACAATGTTAGTTAGATAACCCGAAACAATGGTTGCCAAATATAACAAACCCTAACTAAGAACATTCCTTGCTCTTTGTAATAGTTGTGAGCAAACGTGTCAAAAAAGGAAAATATTCACCGAACCTTTTGCTCTGGACTTTCCCAAACGAAAGTGAAAAAAGGAAATAACAGAAGAGTAAAAATAAAAAGGAAACTTGAATCCCAATTCCCAAACACATGTGAAAAAAGGAAATTACACTGCGATTTGAAAAAAAGGAAACTATACTGAGATTTGAAAAAAAGGAAATTACACAGAAGATGTGTCTACAAATATAGTTTCTCAATGTCAAATCGTTTTAATCATCACAAACCAGAGAAAGACAGATTTATAGAGTGAGAAAATTGCACTCTGAATTTTTTTAGCATTCTCTTCTTCCATTCATACTTCCTTGCTTCTATTATTTCAATCTTTGGCTCCAACGCTTGATTTGTCGTTGCTTTCTTTTCGCCAATAAGAAACGAGCGTGATAGAGGATGAGCTCTTCGTTTACAATCACTCAAAGCGAGATCGTAGATGAATGTGCGATGATCCTCTCTTCTCCGTCGGTTCGTCGTGACGGATGGACTGTGGTTTCTAAGAAAACTCTGCGAAGAATACCGAAGAGGTGGGTGCTACATCGTCGTCGGAGATGACTGGAGAAGAGAGGCAAGATTGATGAGGTGGATCAGTGGATGGATCGGGATTCGTTTGCCGTTTGCCGGTGACTGTGGTGAAAATTAGAGATGTACGTTGTGCAGTCCAAAAACAACAATTTTCGGCCCATACAAGCAAGGTCAATTTCAGCCCCCCCTCTTTTTTTTCTGTTTTTTAAAAATATATTTATAAAATTAATAAATTAAAAAATTTTATATGCTAAAAACTCTAAAAGCTTTTGAAAGATTATGAATTTAGTTAATATTGTTACGGATTTTAAAGTTTTTTTTTTTTTTACAACTTTTCATTGATCTTTTTTAAAAATTTTAAAACTATTTTTTTTAGCTTAAATAATAGAAATTTGTATGATAAATTTACAAGACGAATTGAAACTAACCGGATTTTGGATCCTGTCATTGATCGTTAGTGATTCTACAAATTCAACTTGTTTTCGCATCGTTATGTAAATTTATCAAACAAGGTTCTATATTTTTAAGAAAATATTTCAGTTTTTTTTTCCATGGGTTTTAAAAAATTTTATTCACAATTTTTTAGTTTTAAAATTTTCAAATAATAGAAATTTGGGTAATAAATTTACAAAACGATGTGAAACTATTCGGATTTTGGATCCTGTCATGGATCGTTAGCGATTCCACAAATTCAACTTGTTTTTGCATCGTTATGTAAATTTATCATACAAGTTTCTAATATTTATAAAAAAAAAATTGTATATGGGAATTTAAAAGGCTTTTTTACAATTTTCATTCAAAAATGTTTTGTTTTAAAATTGATTTTTTTTTCCGGCTTTAAGTTACATAGCTATGAACAATTGATCATCAAACTTGCCATATACAGACATACAGTAGTAGTTGTCTTTTCCTTGTTTTTGTTTTTGTTGACTCCTCTACATAGTACAACTTCGTTGTTCTCTCTATACCTTTTTTTTTTTTGGGTCGATTGTTCTCTCTTTACATTGAGTTGTGCACAAACAATGTTAAATTGGGTTTTGAGTCTCCACATGTGCACGGCTAGACAGAGCACTTCATCGTTATCATTCAAAACAATGTATAGATAGGGCTAGATTTCCAAGACGATTGAGACAAGTGACCCCTAATGCATCAAGATTATTACAACACACAACTACCGCAACCGAACAAACACGAGCAGAAGAAACTATTCCCCAAAGGCCCAAAAGGCCAAAACCCATATATGCAAAAGAAGTTGGATAAACGATCTATTTCTCCCTAGGAATTTCCATATAGTATCAGTTCCACCTAGATTTTTGTGGTCGTTCTATTTCCACACAAAATAAAAGTTCTAAATCTATTTGAACACAAAATTAAACTTCGAAACTTATTTACACATATATATTAGTTTTATCGGTTTACAATCTAAAACCGATATAAAACCACTTAAAACCAACAACAAACCGATATTAAACCACTTATGTCAAATCTCCTAAGCGGTTTCAATAATCAAAACAAAGAAATTAAAAACGATGCACTTGCATCTCCTCTATTTGTCTTCTTCCCCTCATAATTGCATATTTTTCTGAAAATACTAAAAAACCATCGATAATGTTTCACAGAATTCGTGACATTGCGAGCATTATCCTTCCACTTATTTGGAACTATCACTTAAGATAACTTCTATCACGTAAAGCAACAATGAATTACAAAATTGAGTCAAAGGTTCATACTTTGAACTAATTACAGATCCAATGACTCATAATACGGTTTCCATCTGAGCAACCGAAAAATTGAATGAAAAGCCATAAGGTTTATTCCTGAGAAATGTAATCGAGTAAGCTATAAACGAATGGAATCATAAATCCCATGCTAATTAGGGCGATAATATCACCACCATCACCGGCGCCAAATCACAAGAGCGGTAGGGAGAGACATAGCTCAACATGGTCGACAAAGATGTTGAGAATCAACGCCGCTGGAACACGAGACGACCTCCGTCAAAACTGAATCTAGGGAGCAAGAGCGACACCGGCGATCTCCTCCACCACAGATCTGTGTTGTATGAAATCAAATTTACTATAAGTGTTGGAGGCATTTGACTCCGATGAGGAGTAGCCGGAGAACAGGCGGTGGTGTTGGGTTGGAGAAGGCGTTGAGTTCGTGAAAGACAAGCAATGAGTTTTTTTTTCAATTAATTAATTTATTTATTTAATTGTAATCGGTTTAGTTTCAGGTTTAGATGGTTAAAGATAGATTGGTAAACAGTAAACCGACACTAACCATTGTTTATGTGTAATTTGGTTTTGGACTATGAATTTGTGTGTAAATAAGTTTCGAAGTTTAATTTTGTGTTCAAATAGGTTTAGAACTTTTAGTTTGTGTAGAAATAGAACGAGGACCAAAATCTGGGTGGAACTGATGCTATATGAAAGTTTCTAGGAGAAATAGAGATCGTTTACCCAAAAAAGTTAAAATCGACTTTGTTTCTTCTTCTTTAACCACCGGTTCGACAATATAACCACCGGTTCGATATTGTCGGATATCCAAAACCGGACCCGACAGGACTCGTTGACTTTATTTCTAAACCCTTCAGTGTAACTGTAACAGTCGCACTCCAACACACCTCACAAAAAATCCTCCAGCCATGGCCGCAGCTACTCAATTTCTCTCCCAACCTTCATCTATCCGCGGAACCCTAAATCAATACCAATTGAACCAAACCTCACTCTCAAGAATCCCAATTTTGTCTCTCAAGTCCACATTGAAGCCACTTAAACGCCTCTCCGTCAAATCCGCCGTATCCCAAAACTCCCAAAACTCCACCAAAACCCTCACGAAGGAATCTGCTTCCTCTTTCGACCACTGTTTCAAGAAATCATCAGATGGGTTTCTCTATTGCGAAGGAACTAAGGTTCAAGATATCATGGAGTCAGTCGAGAGAAGACCCTTTTACTTATATAGCAAACCTCAGATCACGAGAAACCTTGAGGCGTATAAAGAGGCTTTGGAAGGAGTGAGATCTGTTATTGGTTACGCTATTAAAGCTAATAACAATCTTAAGATTTTGGAGCATTTGAGGAGTTTGGGCTGTGGTGCTGTGTTGGTTAGTGGAAATGAGCTTAGGCTTGCTCTTCGTGCTGGTTTCGATCCCACAAAGTAAGATTCTTTATCCCCAATAATAAAGTTTGAACATTCCTGATGGAAGCAAAATATGAGAAGATTGATTTGGTCTAATGGTGATATGATAGTTGTTGACCATGTCTGTTAAAATGAATAGGTGCATTTTCAATGGAAATGGGAAGTTGTTGGAAGATTTAGTTCTAGCTGCTCAAGAAGGTGTTTTCGTAAATGTTGATAGTGAGTTTGACTTGAATAACATTGTGGAAGCTTCAAGAATTTCTGGTAAGCAGGTCAATGTACTGCTGCGTATCAATCCTGATGTCGATCCTCAGGTAGTTTAATTTTCAAATGCTTTAGTATCATTGTTCTGCACAGATTGGATTTGAATGAGCTTTTTCTGTTTGATTACATTTTTCAGGTGCATCCATATGTAGCTACTGGGAACAAGAACTCGAAGTTTGGTATTAGAAATGAGAAACTTCAATGGTTTCTGGATGAAGTGAAGGCACATCCCAAAGAGCTGAAGCTTGTTGGAGCTCATTGCCATCTTGGCTCTACCATTACAAAGGTAATTCCGACTATAGTTGCTTTTAAGTTGTGTTTTGATGTAGTGAGATGAATATGGATTTCTCTCTGTTCATGTTTCCCATGTTTGGGTTTGCCCTATCTCTAAAATCTCAACTCTTGAGCTCTAAATATTTTTCCTAATTCAGGTGGATATATTCAGAGATGCTGCGGTTCTCATGATTGAATACATTGATGAAATCCGGCGTCAAGGCTTTGAGGTTAGCTACTTGAACATTGGTGGTGGTTTAGGGATAGATTATTATCATGCTGGCGCTGTCCTTCCTACACCCATGGATCTCATCAACACCGTAAGAACAACATCTCTAAACTCTTTTTTTCATCTTGATCTCAAAAGTACTGGAATTGGTAGAATCTTTACAATACTGGATGTGTTTCAGGTAAGAGAGCTTGTTCTTTCGCGAGACCTGAATCTAATAATCGAGCCAGGGAGATCGCTGATTGCAAACACATGTTGTTTCGTCAACCATGTAACTGGTGTGAAGACAAATGGAACTAAAAACTTCATAGTGATTGATGGAAGTATGGCTGAGCTTATCCGTCCCAGTCTTTATGATGCCTATCAGGTAAAACAAATATACTTCTCACAACAGCATCTGCAGATTCTAGCCCCTTTGAGCTATAGCTAAACATCTTCTTGTTCTTGTTTCTTAACACAAAAGCATATTGAGTTGGTCTCTCCTACACCGCCTGAAGCAGAGGTTTCCAAATTCGACGTAGTGGGTCCTGTTTGTGAATCTGCTGATTTCTTGGGAAAAGACAGAGAGCTTCCTACTCCTCCGCAGGTATAATAAGGATCTGATTACATTTGGCAGCTCAAGTAAATGTGGAATCAAATGAGTTTATTGTATTCATTACAGGGAGCTTGTTTGGTGGTTCATGACGCTGGTGCATACTGTATGAGTATGGCTTCCACTTACAATCTCAAGATGCGACCTCCGGAATACTGGGTACCAATACTCTTTCTTTTTATTGTTTTTTGCGGCAATTACCAGAGAATCAAGATCCCGAGAGAAAGTGATTGATTTATCTTCTTGTTTTTGCAGGTTGAAGAAGATGGGTCGATCACCAAGATCAGGCATGCTGAGACTTTTGACGACCATTTGCGTTTCTTTGAAGGTCTATGAACTCTTTGATTTACTCATCACTGTTGCTATTTTTGTTGAATTGTATGATTATTCGGAATCAGGACCATAATGCTATTGCTGTCTTAGTATTTCCACATTATGTGCTTTGATTCAAAGTCCTCAATAAAGTGATCATACGAATAAGAAAAAGGTCACAAGCCAAGACAGAAAATAAAAGGTGAATTTGTGGGTTATGATTATTCTTTTGGTTTCTTCTTAAACTTAAAGCCAAAGCAATGCCAAAGCTGTTTCAAAACCAGAAACCAAGATTACACCGAACCAACAATGTTTTAGTGGGATCATGGGTCAAAAATCTATTTAACAACCCTACAAAATCTGTATTACAAGAATCCATAAGCATCTGAATACAAAAGAAGCCTTGAGGAGTCAGTAATGAATGTCAAGGATGGCCTTTGAGATCACCTAATCTGTTTTAGTTTCATCACACAAAAGAAAATTGAAAAATCCTCTCAGGTTTCAAGGAACTCAAAGATCAAAAGAGAGAGTGACAAAAAGTTACCTATTTAACCGAATGCTTCTACAACAAAGCATAATGGTAAGTAAAAGTGTAGCCGCGGCTGAACACAAATGCTCCAGTGAATGCCCACTGATGATATATCGATTTGCATTGTATATTTTGCTGTCTGCAAGCCCCTCAATCCTGGCAATAGTGTACGCCGCTGCATTCATGATAATCAGATATCAGAAGATCGTGGGTTCTAATAAGAAAACCGCAAAAGTGGTTTTGAGTAAAAACCTGTTGCCCAGAGCCAAAATCTAGAGTGAGAATATTTGGGAGGTAACAAAACCGTCATGACGGGAATCGCCAGACATGGAATCAACTGGAACGTCATGCATAACCGGAGATCATTAAACACTCTGCCATCAACTAAAACGCATATAATTTCAATCCGAAACCTGACTAGAACCATGAAAATATGTATACAGAGGAGGTAATGCTTTCTTGGTTTTAATGTTACCTGGCGTAAGCAACGCTGAACAACGATATGAATAGAAGCACGATGAGGCAACTTAGTCCCACTATCTCCCCCGCTCTCTCAACCAAAAAACTAGAGAAAAGCGACGAATACGCAATCAATATCTGCAATTTTACAGTCATAATCAAGAAACAGCTATTCATAACCAACCATTAAACATGATGAGCAAAAACAACTTTTCATTCGGTAAAACCAAAAACCAAGACTCTAGACCCAAAAATCTCTAAAGCTTATTCCCATTAGCTATAAAACGATTGTTGATGAGTTGTGTTCACTATGTGCTTGTAGAACCAACCAATCCAAGAAAACTATGTGCAAACATGAAGACTCATCTAAGCTTCTTTCCATAGCTATAAGCTGATTCTTCAACTTTTTCTATTCACAATGTGCTTGTCAATATCTACAATTACCGCATCACTAATCAAGAAGCAATGTTCCCAAGAAAAAGTAAAGTGAGAAAACGAACAGGCAAAGTGTCCCAGACGATTCTGTTGTCATCAGGTTTAAGATGGTAAAAGGCAGAACCAAAGGCCAAGCTTGCAATGCCTGCGTAGAACAGTGTCCATCCCCAGATCTCACCTTTTAAACTGCATTACAACAAATCAGATTGTTAACACTAATTCAAAAATACTAAAAGAGAAGAAAATTAAATAACCTTATGTTGAAGAAGCTTCCTCCAATGCAAAGAACAAAACCAAGAACACCAATAATAAGAAAGGGAAAGTTGGTCATCACATTCAATGTATTAGGCACTCCTGTTCATCATCATCAAACCCACACAAAACACCTGTCTCTCATTATTACACATGCACAGAGAGATAGAGAGAGAAACACACACTCAAAAAAAAGAGAGAGTGATATGATGATGATACCCATGAAATTGCGTTTATCGGCGAAGATATGATGACGAAAGGAATCGAGAGGAACTTTGGGAGTAATGAACATGATGATTAACCAACAGAGGAACGATCCCACAACCAAAATTCGTTTCCTTTTCCATCTCCCGATCTGTTGATTCGTCAACCACACCATTAAAAATCTCTCTATAAAGGTGAAGACTTTAAAAGTTTTGTTTTTTTTTTGTTGAAATGAATAAATCAGTTTTCTCTGTTGTGTCTGATTGATAAATCTTCTTCCAGGTTAAGAAAAAAAAAGGGAAGACAGATTTATTGCGAGTCGCTTTTTTTCGATTTGAACAACGTGCGGCGGAATCTCTTTTTTCATTGAGTCTGACGGGTACGACGACGACGATCCCACCGATCTCTAATGTTGTCGTAGTTGACGAGGACCGCTCTAAAATGTCGCCGTTTTGTTTATTTTCTGTTTTATTTGCAATCTAACCCCTTATGTTTCTAATATGTTGTTATATCCACCACATGTTTCCAGAAACCAACTTTTTCATATATGTAAAACTTTTCAAAGCTTGGCGGGAGTGAGTTCACTCACTAAACAACATAGTAGATAGTTGGTTTATTTAGCGGCTCATAGGTTGTTTAATTAACTATCTTTTTTGGTTAGTGTTGTTGAAGTTAAAAATTTCAAAATTATATCCTTAATTTGTTGTTGGAGCTCTTACTAGTAAGTAAGTAACCCACATTGATAGCAATGTATGAAACAAAAACAAATAAGTGGGACTAACATGAGATAAAGCTCAATGAGAATGAATTTATTGACAGATTATAAGAGAAAGATGGGGAAGAAGATGAAACAATCATCTGTATTGACAAATTGCAAACATGCATTCTAAAACTCAAATTAAAAACGTATACATACCAGTGTTCTTTTAAGCCAATTGTCCCTTCTAATTCATGGATTGTGCCATGCTTGAATAGGCTTAACATGTTTGATGCTTTCACTTCCTTTGTGTTGGGTTGGACCTTATTTATCAACAATAACACCAAACACGTCATTCATTTCAAAATCCATCAAGAAACCTTTGATGGAGATGGTCTAATACTTTCCGAATGTTTGGGGTTTGTTTCAACAAACTAAAACTATAGCAGTTACTAATGAAATATATATAAAGTATGAGGGCATTTAAATGAAATATTTCATTGCTTATGTAGACTGTAGTCGTCTCTCATTTATTTCGAGCAAATATTTTACTCTTTATTTCGAAGAGAGAGAGAGAAGAAGACGGAAGATAGAAGAAAGCGGTTTTGATCGGAGGTACTTTTTTCCGACGAATATACTCTCTCTAGGGTTTTTTTTTTTTAATTTTCTCCTTCCATCTCCGTTTCTTCTTCTTAGCTCTTCAATCTCAGCTCAAATTTCTGGGCTACTTGAGTTTAAACTGGGTGTGCGCTTCGTTGAAGAAATTTTGAAAATTTGCAGAGAAATTTGTGGAGAAAGCGGAAAGATCCGATTTATCCATCGTTTCCTCAGTCAAAGCTTTGATTTTTCTAGCTGTCTTTTTTCCCCCCTTTTTTCGTATTAAAATCCCTAGACTAGACATATCAATTATCTGAAATCGATTTCGTGGGATCAGTTCCGGTTCGGTTCTCTTGTTAAAATATTGATTTCTGTCACTTTCCGCGATTGAAAGTTTTCGAATTTTGCTTCTTTTGGCTCCAAAGTTTTTACCTTTCAAATCTGGGTACTTTTTGTTTTGGTTCCTACTTGTGAATTATCTAGGGCTTCGCTCCCTTTCTAATCCGAGATCTGTTTTCTTTCTCAGATTAGTGTATCCTTGTGTATGAGCTAGTGTTTGCAATTTGACGGCTCTCAGGATCTGATTTATCTCAGGCGTCTGGGCTCTGTCGGTAGCTACAGGGGTGAAAGAGAGTTTCTACAAGGTAAAATCATTGATTCTGGTTGGTATCTATGAGGTTCATGAAAAGTTTGAATTTGGTTTCCTGAGGTGAACTCTAGCTTGTACTTGTAGATGTGTAGTTCTTGAGCATTGTGTATTAAACATGAATGTGAAAAATGGGTCAAATTGAAATTGTGGAGTAATTGCATTAGGCTCTGAGTTCTATTGTCTAATTCGATTACAAGTTGATTTTAATAGGCTTTTAATGGAAGACGATGACTCTCCTTCTTCCCGGGATTTGGATGCACAGAACCCTTATGATCGATTGCTTGCTCTAGATACAAGTACCGTAGATTCAAATTGTAACTTGGATTCGGTTTCTGCCATTTATCTAGCGATGAAGAGCTCGAAGCTGGAATGTGTTGACGAGCGTGGCCAAGATTCCCTTATAACTTCGGTATGCATGGATGATGAAGAGGATGAGGAACTCGATGAGTTTGATCCTTATCTGTTTATTAAGAACTTGCCGAACTTGTCTTCTGTTGTCCCAACTTTCAGGCCGGTCTTGCTTCCTAAACAAACCCGAAGCTGTCCTCCTATTTCTCTAGTCCTAGACCTTGATGGTAAGGCTACTTTTCAGTTGATTCGTTTGGTTGATATAGTATCTCTCTTTGCAAGTTTTACTGGAACACAAATATTAGTCTTCCTCTTCCTCACCAATATTGTATCATTGTATGTAGACTTGATGTAATCATAGATGACATGTGGGCAGAAATTTAGGGCGTAAAGTTTTATTTGTTTGTCCATTTCTGCTTAAGTGAAATCCAATGCAAGATTTGTTTTCGAAGTAATTTTATGATCCACAAGAGCCTTTTGTGTTTGGTTTATCTGTTATCACTATAACATTATATGTTTTTTATTCGCAGAAACTCTTGTGCACTCGACTCTAGAACCGTGTGGTGAGGTGGATTTCACATTCCCTGTAAATTTTAATGAAGAAGAGCATATGGTGTATGTGCGGTGCCGTCCTCACCTCAAAGAGTTTATGGAGAGAGTTTCCCGTCTTTTTGAGATCATTATATTTACAGCTAGCCAAAGCATTTATGCCGAGCAACTTCTGAACGTACTTGACCCTAAGAGAAAGCTCTTTCGCCATAGAGTGTACCGTGACTCCTGTGTTTTCTTTGATGGTAACTACCTAAAGGATTTGTCAGTCCTTGGGCGTGATTTATCTCGTGTTATCATTGTTGACAACTCCCCACAGGTACTATACTCTTATCATCCTTCTACTTAATGAGTAAACACATTTAGTTCTCCATTCTTATGCTTTATACCAAAGCCAATCGATAGATGCATTTATCAGCTAGAATTGTAGGATACAGTTGTAGTATAGGAAAACTGTAATCTATGAAAGGTTGTATGGGCGAATCCATTAGAAGTTTTTAGTTTGCAATAGCTATCTATAAATATGAAGTTGTGTGGGATTGATTAAAGAAGTAGATTCCAGAACCGCCATTAAAAATCCTCTAAGCTCTATCTCAAGGCTATTGCATTATCTCATTGGTGTTTTTCTTTTTGTGCAATGTTTTAGGCATTTGGTTTCCAAGTGGAGAATGGGGTTCCAATAGAGAGCTGGTTTAATGACCCGTCAGATAAAGAACTCCTTCACTTGCTCCCATTTCTTGAAAGCTTAATTGGAGTTGAAGATGTAAGGCCAATGATCGCCAAGAAATTCAATCTAAGGGAGAAGATCGATGCAGCTGTAGCTGCACCTGAATATCCTGTTGAGGCGGGAGATCCTTTTGAAAGGTAAAGTCTATCGCCGAAAAAGTTATAAGCTTTTAAAGGAAGAATCTGGCATAAGAGCTGCGTGCGGGATACAAATTCAAGGAGAAGACTTGCTCTTTAAAGAAGATGCTTTGGAAAGCTTAATGGAAGTGTTGCTTCCTATTACGGTTGGAGGTATCAGAAGTTGGAGAGAGAGATATATATATAAATATATCAATGTTGTTTTCTTATTAGCTTAAATTAAGAACTTGGTATACAGAGAAAGACAGGATAGGCCTGTAAACAGTTTAATGCACAATAACTGTATAATTGTCTCTCTTTTCTGGTTTATTTACTACTACTAGGTACACATAGATTTACCATTTTTTTTTTGTCGGCCAAAGATTTAGTTTCATAAAGCCTAAAGGGCAGTTACAGAAGGGGTAAAACCCATTAAGGATACAAACGAAATTTGACGGCCCAACATAAACATAATTGAAAAAACAGATAAAATTAAAAGCAAATTATGTTTTATCGGACGACACGTGTAGAAGACGTGTTCTTCTCCAAGCCACGTGTCAAGATTTCAAGCACCACCGTCAAATTCGCCGGACACCGCCGAATTCCGATCAGCCACCGCCAATCAGTCATGGAGCGATGGATATCCTTCTCCCTTCTGCCGATCTGCAATCCAACTGAAGAATAGCACCGAAATCTGCCGGATTTATATGAAGAACACTTCAAAATTGCTCCGGAAAACGCCAACACCGGGGAAGCTCCACCACCGCTACACCCAACTTGATGTAGACTTTGATCCTTCTTTGCTCATACTCTTGAGCAAAAGGAGAGTGACGAAGATATTAATCCTCGAATGATTGGAGAAAAACGGAGAGAGTTTTGAAGAAAGCGGAGATATCGATGAGAGGAGACCAAATGGAAAGAGATCGAAGCTCCCTATAAGCGAGAGAGAACCGGATTGAGCCGGTAGCAAAAGTCCAGCACTCAGCTGGAATTATTGAATCGCAAAAGCGAAGATATAAACAGATCTGGTTAAAACCAGAAACAAAAAGTGAAGAGAAGACTCTCTCTCTCTAAAAGATACGAGAGCGATAAGAGCACATAGATTTACCATTTCAACAGTGGCTTTTTTTTTTTGGGTTAAAAAAGGGCCAACAAAAATTTTCCATATGAATCCCAATCAAAAATCACAAGCATAGTGCGTGATCCAATAAATTCATTTTACAAAATCCAAGAAACATAATTTGTTTTCTCCAATCACCAAACGCCACTCGATCACAATTCACAAGTCTTATTTATCTCAGTTTCAATGGCCGTATAAGATTTCTAGGCACCTATAGCGTCTAACGATTGTTTTAGTACTATTGGAATGGTCCCAATAGCGGATAATTATGAAATTTGTTTGGTCATTTAAATAAAATAGTACTCCCTCTGTTTCAAATTATAAGATGCTTTTGTTAAAAGTACAAAGATTAAAAAGTAATAAATGTTTATTTATTTATAAAAATTTAACCAATAGAAAAATGGACAGCAGAATTCAAAAGGTTATAAATAAACTAAATAAACATAAATTATGCATAAAAATCTGAAAAATCTTATATTATGGAACAAGAAAAAAAGATTAAACATCCTATAATTTGGAACAGAGGGAGTACTAAATAGCTTCGTGTTAAAAAAAATAGTCAAAGCTATTCTTATCACCAAGTAAGTGGAGAAAGCTTGACGAAGAAGAGTAATGCGCATTTTAATCGAATCTACCTTTCGAAGATGTCGGCGCAGGTTAAGCTCTTACTATATGAGTATTTATTTATTGTTAAACTGTGGAAATATTTGTTTTATTTTTATCGGATGTTTACGAGGTACGCATTATTTGTTTCTCTATAATTAATTTTGTTTTGTGACAATATTATTTTTTTTAAGAAAACAAAAAAAACTAGCGAAAGGAAGCTTCATTTTTTTAGAGAGATAAACTGGAGATTTTTAGAGAGAGAAAGATATAGAGAGAGATCAGTTCGTCGTTGACGATCGATGTCGAAGATGAAGCATCTTCTACGGAAGCTCCACATCGGCGGGAGTAGTGGCGTCGGCGGCGGATTTGCTGACCATCACAGGTTAGACGACTCTACTAGACCCATGATTGATCCTAGCCCTATTCCTAGCACTAGCCCTAGCCCTGCCTCGACTTCTTCCGTCTCTTCCTCCGGTTTTGGTAACGCCTCCGCTACAATGCCGAGACTGGATACATTTGAGCCTGTTGGCCGTGATCTGGCGGCTGTGGACGGTGTTGATTTCAATTTGATGGAGGAGGAGTACCAAGTCCAGTTAGCTATGGCGATCAGCGTCTCTGATCCTGATCCGAGAGAGAATGCAGATACGGCTCAGCTTGATGCCGCTAAGAGGATTAGCCTTGGTGTTTCGGCTCCGGTCACCGACGCTGATTCCGCCGTTGACTTTCTCTCGCTTCGTTATTGGGTATACTCTAAATCTTGACTCTTGCTTTGGTGAATATTTTCAAATTCCTCTGGAGTTAGGGGTTTAGGGACTCTGATTGTTCGTTCGAGTAGCCGGGGTTTAAAGGAATTAGGATCTTTGCTATTGCTTGCAGTGTTCTCTTGGTTGCGAGTATTTCTGAATCCTAATTGTATAACTTTCCATTTTTGGGTTGGAGTTACCAAGGTTTATTCAATGTGGATGGTTTCTGCCTTGGTTATACGACAATGGGAGACTTAAGCTGATGTTTCTTTTTCTTGTAGGGACATAAGGTCATTAATTATGACCAGAAAGTCAGGGATGGTTTTTACGATGTGTATGGGATTACTTCCAATTCTATTTCACAGGGGAAGATGCCACTTCTTGTGGATCTTCAAGCGATCTCTATTTCAGACAATGTTGATTATGAGGTCATTTTGGTTAACCGATTGATTGATCCTGAACTACAAGAACTAGAGAGGAGAGCATCCGCTTTGGCTTTGGAATGTGCAGACTTTGCCCCTGGTCAGGTGTCAAGTGATTTGACTCAGAAAATTGCAAATATAGTTGTAGAGCAAATGGGTGGCCCCGTTGAAAATGCTGATGAAGCATTGAGAAGGTGGATGCTTCGGAGCTATGAACTAAGGAATTCTTTGAACACTACTATTCTTCCACTTGGTCGAGTTAATGTTGGTCTTGCACGACACAGGGCTTTGCTTTTCAAGGTTCATAACAAATCCTCTGTTTCTTGCTTTGCTCTTAAACCTCTCTTGGTTATCTTATTTGGGGCTTCTAGTGGCAGCAGTCATTATTTCCTTTTTCCTCGCTGAGTTCCCTTTTTGGTCACGGTTAGAAGATGTACGGTGAAGCTAACTACTCCCCTCCTTTTCTTTTCTCTAGGTCCTTGCTGATAGGATTAATCTCCCATGTATGCTGGTAAAAGGCAGTTACTACACTGGAACTGACGATGGGGCTGTTAACTTGATTAAACTAGATGACAAAAGGTATTCTTTGATTGCTGGAATCAGCTACCTTATGTTTGAGTTCTAGATTCCTGATATTAGGCTCAGTTTGTATGTGATGGTAGTGATTTTTGCAGAGTCCTAATTCGTTCTTCACATGCAGTGAATACATTATTGATTTAATGGGTGCTCCGGGTGCTCTGATCCCTTCTGAGGTTCCAAGCAGTTTTCTTCCAGTTTCTTGCACAGATACAAGAGTATTTCCTGAGGATTTGGACTCGTTGCAACATTCATCCCCCGTACTTGATAAAGAAATTGAAAAGCCAGCATTTTCAGTTTCGGGGGAAGCAGATTCTAGATCTGGTGTGGGGGCAAACTTCTTCACTGGAAACCATGAAGAAAACAGTGACAGATATGCTGTTGAAAAACATCAAACAGAGAGATTTGAACATGATTTTGGGAAGTTAATGCAATCACAGCAGATATCTGGTGAAAGTTTGCCGCCATTTTCTGGGAAACCGACATGTGCACAGAAAGTTAAAGTTAAGAATGTCTCAAAGTATGTCATAAGTGCAGCAAAGAACCCTGAATTTGCCCAAAAATTACATGCTGTGTTGTTAGAAAGTGGTGCATCACCTCCCCCAGATTTGTTTATGGATATCAATCCACATAACTTGAGGGGGAAGAATTTGCTTCAAGAACTCCGACAAGAAAGTAGCAATTCTATGGTTTCTGGTATTCCTTGCTACCCAGAAAAGGTATTCTTAGGATACACAACATTTCACATCCTGTACAGTTGTTTTCATTCTTTTCCACCTGCCCTCTTTAACTTGAAGTCCTTAATTGTTTCCATCTACACTGAATAGGTCGCAGACCCGTTAGGTGCGCAACTGAGAGAATCTGAAAGGAACCCCATAGCTGAGAGCTACCAACAATCAGTGGAGGTCGATTTGTCAATGAAGAGAACCTTTGATGTGGATAATACTGGTAAAGCTTCTCCATCCGAAAATATGGAGGTTGGCACTGCTGATGAGGAGCCTGCTGCTTGTGATAGCCATGACCAAGGGATTAATCCATTGCTCGGAGAAGCTGCAAAGTGGGAAATTATGTGGGAAGATCTTCAGATTGGCGAGCGCATTGGTATTGGTAAGGTTTGTTATATCAGATATTGGATTCACTAGAGTTATGCAACTTTATTATAAACTGAAGTGGTATCGTGAGAGACTTTTGGTGAAGCTTGATACTTACTAATAGTTATCTACCCTTATGCTTGTGGATAAGATCTATTACATCCAACTATTCAGTTTTGATACACCAGACAAGCACGTTGATCTCGTGTGCTCTTTCTCTGTGCTGTTTCTGTCGCAGGTTCATATGGAGAAGTTTATCGTGCAGAGTGGAATGGAACTGTGAGTTCTGTTTGTAGTCTTAATCCACTGATCCTTGCAATGTTTTTTTAAACTGCAGTTTCTAAAAACCACTCTCACATTTCCTACCGATGAAGAGATTTGCTATTTTAGTCATGGAGTTCTTGGACTGATTGTGTTTTTCATTTCAGGAAGTGGCTGTTAAGAAGTTTCTGGACCAAGATTTCTCGGGTGATGCATTGACACAGTTCAAATCTGAAGTAACTCCAAATCATTTAACCATAGATATCTTATTTTCTGTAAAATTATCTGCAATCAGTTTAATCATACTCTGAATGTTTATATTTTGTTCTGAATAGATTGAAATAATGTTGAGGTTACGGCATCCAAACGTTGTTCTTTTCATGGGAGCAGTTACTCGGCCGCCAAATTTCTCCATCCTGACAGAGTTCCTACCCAGGTTTGATGATCCTCCCATATTCTTCTTTATAGTTCGTGAATGCACCACTAAGTCTGCTAGTTTGCTTTAAGTCATCCTTTATACATGAAGTAATCCTTTTCTAACCATGATATGCATTTGTTGTTTCTAGTTTTCTTTAATCCCTTCTTCTTGAATTAGTGGGTTAAACTTTAATGATTTGATGCAGGGGAAGTTTGTATAGATTACTCCATCGGCCAAACCATCAGCTTGATGAGAAGAGGAGAATGCGGATGGCTCTTGATGTGGTATAAATGAGTTGCGTTGGTTAAACAGAAGGCTTTAAAAGTTACTATTATATTGCGAAAAATTATCTGACACTTGCTTTCTTTCTGATGGTATTGCAGGCAAAGGGAATGAACTACTTACACACCAGCCACCCGACTGTTGTACATAGGGATTTAAAATCTCCAAACCTTCTTGTTGATAAAAATTGGGTTGTGAAGGTTTGTGATTTTGGATTGTCCCGCATGAAACACCACACTTATTTGTCCTCAAAATCAACGGCAGGAACGGTTAGTTTTTTTATCTTAGATGGAACTATTCCTTATTTATCAAGCATGAACTCTCTGTTGCAAAGATAACGGAACAACTTACTTGACATGATGTTCTGTTAATGAGTGTGCAGCCTGAGTGGATGGCTCCAGAAGTGTTGAGGAATGAACCGGCTAATGAGAAGTGAGTGAAATTTAACACTATGAGAATCTTTTTAAATGTTAGTACAGAAATATTGATTGGTATGCTTGCGCAGATGTGACGTGTACAGCTTTGGTGTTATATTGTGGGAATTAGCTACTTCACGCATCCCCTGGAAAGGTTTGAACCCGATGCAAGTCGTTGGAGCTGTGGGATTCCAGAATCGACGACTTGAAATCCCAGATGATATCGATCCAACTGTTGCACAGATAATCCGTGAATGTTGGCAAACGTAAGTTCATTTTCATAACTCAAATCCTTAAAATCTAGCAAAAGTAATTCACTACTCCTTATTAGAGCTGTATGATACATGTATCCATGTTTATATACCCCAAACCATATGATTAGCTTTGTAGTGCAAAAACTCAGTATAGAAATGGGTAAAGTTCGAGTGGGTCGGTCATCACGCATTTTAGGTGGAGGTTAAGCTTGTGATTGTTATGCAGGGAACCGCATTTACGGCCATCGTTTACACAACTGATGCGAAGTTTGAAGCGGCTTCAGGGTCTAAACATAAGCAACAGATCGAAGACGAGTGAAAGTTTGATGTAAGATAAGTTAGACAGAAGATGTTGCTTCACCTGGTCTGGTTCAAAGAGCCAGCCAAAGGGTGGGGGTTGCCATTTTCTTCTTTTTTTCTTTTTGTTTTCACGGTCAGACGAGAGGAAACGAAAAAAAAGATTGACGGGTTGGGGAAAAGCTTGTGGAGTTCAATCGAAGTGGGAGCTCAACAAGAAAAGAAAAAGCCCTATTCAAAACCCTTTGTAACTATTATTATTATCATCATTGTTGCTACTTGTAACGATAAAATTAGGTGACTGAACGAACAAAAAAAAAAGAATAGAAAAGAAATGAAAAAGAAAAGGTAGATGAAAAGAATACAATAAGCCTATGGAGTTCCTTTTTTTTTGGTTTGAGATTTGCCCCAAAATCTGTAAAAGTGTAAACATGTGGGGATTGTTGTAAGAGCTGATAGGCTGCTAATTCTTGTAAAAGTTACAACAGAAGTAAAAGTTAAAAAGAACGATAAGAGACATTCAAGGGGAATATAGAACAGCCCTTTACATAATGGCAGAATTAAGTTTTCTTATTGGACGCCAATTTTGGTCATGATTGATAAAAAAGTTGAGGAAATTAGAAGTTGAAACTTTATTAGACGTTGAAGAATAATTAACGGTTGAATTAGTATCGACGACATGTAACACTTGAAAATGTAACGTGGTGTGAGATATGTGATTCTCACCGTTGATTGAGGCCCATTGGGTATTATATTATCTTACCCAATTACCCAAAGTTAGATCATTTGACCATTTTTAGATATTTATAAAACTGTTTAGGCAAAATAAAATAAAATTCGTTGGTGTATATATATATAACGGCTTTAGAAATTTGTTTCTGGCCGGGAAGAAAGAAAAGCAGAGCAATCGCAATGAAAAGGGTTGTTAAGAATAAGGACAATGCACAGATGCGAGAAGATGAGTCATCATGTTATATTCCTCAAGATCTGATCGAAGAGATTCTCGCGAACTTGCCGTCGAAATCCGTAGCCAAGCTCATCGTCGTCTCGAAACTGTGGTCTTCTATAATCCGCAGCAATTATTTCATCGATCTGTATCTGAAACGATCTGTGACTCGTCCGTGTTTTCTCTTCACATTCCGCCGCGACAACGGCCGGTTCTTCCACTCAATCTCTCAGGAGGCAGCACCGTCTTGTTCTAGTACATCAAGCTTTCCTCTGAGTCTTGATACGCCGCCCTTGTTACTAGGTTACAACGTTTGTACACCGGTACGCGGCTTGATATGCTCGCAAGATTTGGATAAGTTGGTGATTTCGAATCCTAGCACTGGCCAATTCTTGGTTTTACCCAATCTCGAAACCAAGAGAAGACGAGTATCATTCTTCGGATACGATCCCATTGAAGATGAATACAAAGTCTTGTGCATGACGGTATTGCAACTTTCTTACAATTCTGGACCCGTTGTGAGCGAAGAACATCAAGTTTTCACTCTAGGAGGAGCTCAGAAGAAGAAAGCAGCAACATGGAGAACGATCGCATGTAAGCTTCCACATTTTCCTGCAACCAAAGGGCTGTGCTTTAACGGTGTTGTTTATTACGGAGCTTGGTCCAACAGTGATAGAAAAGGATCTCTAATTGTGGCCTTTAATGTGAGATTGGAGGACTTTACTCTTGTTAAATTACCCATTGGTGTCGAAATATATATGAGTCGTGATTCTGAATTGGTGAACTACCAGAGGAAGGTAGCTTTAGCGAATCACTCATATAAGGGTAAATTTGAATTGTGGGTTTTGGAAGATGTGGACAACCAAGAATGGTCAAAGATCTCAGTTGTGGTTCCTTCTTGGAATGATTTAGTTGGGCGAAGCTTGTTCTATTGCAGAGGTGCCATTAGTTCCGGCGAATTGATATTCACACCATCGTTTTCGGATGGCTCGTTCTTTATTATTATCAGTTATGATAGCAAGGAGGAAATTGTCAGAAGAGTTGGGATTGAAGGAATTGGAGATGGCTCGAATTATGTGAGAAGCTTCTTGGATTATGTAGAGTGTCCTATATTTCTCTAAAGGAAGTCTATTTGTATTGTTTGATTGATGACTAGCTTGTTTTTGTTCAGATCCATTTGTCTAGTTAGTAGTTTCTTAGATCTATCTAGTTCAATGGTTCTGGATTTCATTAAAAGTAAGTTTTAGTTTTCTCTACAACTAAGTTTTTCTTATTTGGCTATCTTTGGAGAGAACCATCAATTCTTAGACAAATTTTGTCTTTAATGGTGATTACTTCAAAGGGTGTTTTTTTTGCTTTCATTGTGAAATTTTTTCTCTTGCTCATCAAATTGGTGTATAAAGGATCCTTGGCACATAAATATTAGTAAGTTGCTCAGCAGATCATACGACAACAATTATCCTGGACGCGAAAGGGTTTATTTGTTCTCAGGAAAAAGTTTTGGGGTAGAATTGAAAATAGACTGAAATAATGAGAGCCGTCTCGTTTTTAAGTGATGGTTACAAAATCGAAATTGGAAAATTAAAAAAAAAAAAAAGGAAGCTGCGATGGCTGCTACAGTGCTCGGCCATTTCAGTCCAATTACATCGTCCCGAAGTCCACCGTCTCGCCACCGGAGATTCCTACACCACAATTTATTCCCTAAAATACCCCTTCCTTCTTCTCTTATCAAATTCGGCGCCGAGAACTCCGAACCCCAACCTCCACCGCCGTTGCCGGAGACCGATTGTCCCGTTCCGCCGGAACAGCAGCCAATCAACGAGTATCAATCTCTCTCTACCTCTTTCCCTTTTTCCTGGGCTTCAGGAGATCTAGTCGAGTACTCTACAAGACTCTTCTTCACCGGCGCTTCTTTCGCATTTTTCGTCGGATTACCCGTTTCCTGGTTCGGATCCGTCGGACCCGAATACGAACCCGTTAAGAGGATTCTCGCCGCCAGCTCTAGTGGGATCTTCGTTGTTACGCTTGCTGTCGTAAGGATGTATCTTGGTTGGGCTTATGTCGGTAATCGTCTTCTTAGCGCCACCGTCGAGTGTACGTTTTGATAAGCTCAAGAACTGGTTTTGCGATTTCTCAAATGTTTGTTTTTGAAATTTCTATTCGTCTGTTGTTGCAGATGAAGAAACTGGGTGGTATGATGGTCAGGTTATGATTGTTTTGGTCTCTCAAACTTGGTTAAGAAGCTGCTCTGTAGAAGAAAACATTTGTGTTGCTTATTCTAAACTCTAATTATATGGAACAGGTATGGGTGAAAACACCTGAAGTCTTGTCGCGAGACCGTCTTCTTGGATCTTTCTCGGTAAGCTATCATCATGAAGCATGTATCTTTGAAATCCTTGAATTTGGTCCATTGTATGTATCATGTTTCAGGGATTTGATCAAGTTTCTCTATTTGTTTATTTGTGTGTGTGTGTGTGTTATTTTTTCAGGTAAAACCAGTCCTTGCCAGATTGAAAAACACGCTAGTTATTCTCGGATTATCGCTCATTCTTGTCATAAACCTTGGTGATTCTCCAATTGCAACTTCTTATAGAACATATAAGGATCCTAGGGACAGATCCTCCCTGCCAATCCCAGGAGCTTACAATGATGAAACCGCAAGAACGTTCGAACCAGATGCTTTCTGCGGTGAACCGTCTTCCGATCTTCTTTAAAGTCTTTTCATCACAACGCAAAGACAGATAGTTCCTGATAGTAAATATATCTGTACATTCTTGTATATTTCGTTAAATTGGATGTCAAGGACAAAACCAATCTTAATGAATCGAAAAACTCATCACTAGGTTTCAAATCTAGCCCTTATCATTCGGACTCGAATTGACAGTTTCTAACTTTCTAGAGGATGGCATTTCGATTTTCTGTAAGATGTCAGATTGATACTCTTTCATCTCTAAAACTATATTTGTTTTTGCCTCCACAAAATCTATCACAAATTGGATTTGTTACCTTATATCACTATCATTTTTTTAGTTCTATGTGAATACTGACCATTTTATTTTTACAATTTTAAGAATATTTATAAGCAGAGCATATCTCTGCTTCTGGAAGAAACTTTTGTTAGTCAATCGGATAACTAAAGTTTGATAACGTGAAAAAAACAAACAAATTCAGGTGATATAGATTTCTGAGTCAAACACACAAGATTAGTATTATAACAAACATAACTAATTTAGCTTACATAAACCATAACGCTCTTTCTATTATTGTCCGATCGTATCAATAAAACATAGCTTTCTTTATATATATAACTAACAACCGGAGAGGAGAGTATCAGAATAACGAATTGGCTGAGAAAATGAAAACCCTAGCAATATTTTGCCTTGTTTTCCAAGTAATCATTCAAACCGGAAACTCAGCTGATTCAGGAGATGTTGATTTTTCAATACTCATAAAAAACGAAATGTACAATGTCGATAACCCGTCTGTTTTCTACACTTGCCGATCATCAAAGAAAGACATCGGATGGCACAAATCGGTTCCATCCTCAGAGTTTCAATGGGAATTCGAAGTTCCTCAGTTTGGTAACGGCGTCATGGTCCACAATTGTCGTTTCCGGTCGAGCGCAGGAACAGCAAACGTTGAGATCAGGACATTGTCTACTACAGCGATGCTATGCGATGGACAAACATGTAAATACGCAATCAGACCTAATGGGATTTATTTCATTGGTTACGAGTTGTATTCTCCTTATGCTATTTTTGGAAGGTATATTGAATTGTCGAGGCCCGCGGAGAAGCTAGTTGAGCCGTGGAAACCTTGGTCACCACAACAACTCAAAGCTATGTATCGTACAAAACAAATGGTCCATGATTCGGATTGAGAGGTCGATGTCGTCGATCCTTGGACTACATGCATCATTATATTATTTAATGAATGTTAAGTAGGTGATTATATATGTTAGTAGCTGAGGTCTTCGAGGAAGAGGGGACTCATTTGAGGACCTTGTTTTGTGGAAACATGAAGGGACTCAGGTAAGAGTCCACAAGTGACTGCAATTTACATGAAGGGTTCGCATAATTTAGAAAGGCTAACGTTTATTAGTGGATCCTAACTCCGTAAAATATAAAAGAATCTTAGTGATATACTGATAATAAAGAAAATCCATTCCTTTGAATTAAAAATATATCAAGATTTGTATCCTCTATACGAAAATCATGTGTAAGTTTAGTTCAATATTTGGAAAAGTGTTGTTAAATTTCGTTTCTTCTTCTTATTCGAAACTGCGTGTTGGCTGATTGATTTCTTAAGACGCGAGCAAGTTAAACCGGATGACACCAAAATAATCTAGCTTAGGGACAATCGATTAGTTGAGGGATGATATTTTGTGGGCAAACAGATGACTTGTTTCTCCCACTGTCCCACTCCAGTATCTCATTGTTGAGCTCCTTAAAGACATATTTTATATTTATTATTGTTTGATAAATTTTATTTTCTACTCATGTAACTGAATAAAATCAAAACGAAAATATTATTTGTTTTGAGAAACCCACTTGTTGCCTCGCGACTTGCAAGCAGAACTAAGAAGACCCAAAAAAAACTTGCACTCTTTGTTGTTTTCCTCCTCAGTAGCTCAAGTCGATAGATCGAGAGAAAGACAAAACAAAATTAGGTTTACTTGTGTAGTTGTGTTCTTGTAATATTAACGTTTGGTAGTTTTTGTTTTTTTTTGGCAGCGTCCCACATCGGTAGTTATCAAAGTCGTAATCTAATATATATAAGGTATGAGTTATGCAATGTATTGTCAATTGGTAATGAGATAGAATTTCATCAGGAACTTGGGTTTGGTGATGGGTCTAGGGAGGTCCACGGACTAAAGAACCTCACTATCGAAAGTGAATTGAGTCTGCCTACTCATTACTGATTGACTATTTTTTTTATTTTCTTTTTTCTTTGTCATTCTATAAGTTTTGTGTTGTTAATTTATTATTATTATGGAAAGTAATCAATAAGCATAAATCAAAATGTAAAAGCAAGTCTAGCATCAGTAAGACAGTAACAAAGAGAGAAAAAAAAAACACATCAACATTCAATATCAATTTACTAGATTTTTTTTTTTAATAACTAAAGATCCCAATCAATATAAAAGCAGTTTAAAACCAACCCTAATTGAGTTCATACTTTATATACTTTTATTTTTTTTGATAAAGATCTTGAGTTTATGTACTTCCATCCCTAAACTAAATTATCAAGGATCGAAGCAAAACTAAATAAAAACCTAGAACAGCATAACAAAATGTAACAGAAATGCCAAATTTACAAACCTATGGGGGGGAAATATTATTTAATAACAACTAAAACGGAAAAAGGGACAGAAAGCTCATCGAACATGTAACGTCTAAAACCACTACCGTTTTCTGTTGTTGTTAAACAAACCACTCCCGCTTATATAAAACCTCAAGAACCAAAACAGAACTGTTCAAGAGAGCAATGGGGTTCGGGTTCAAGATCGGATCAAGATTCCGATTAGCCACCACATTCATGTGGTGTCTTCTCATCGCATCAGCGTGCTTTCCATCCACCACATCAGCAGCCCGGTTCGAGGTAAGAAACGAGATCTCCAGATACCCAGGTCGGAACCGGAGCCTCACGGTTAACTGTTGGTCGTCGAATAACAAACTGGGCATGCATGCTCTCAGACCGGGCCAATCCAAAAGCTGGTCGTTCACGCCAATATTTATTAAGATACCGTTTATCTACACATACTTCGAGTGCATGTTCTTCACCGCTTTTGGATCGCCATATGGTCAGAAAGCAACGGTTTTTGCTGGGGAGAGATTATTCAGGTGGCAATGCGATAATCCAGACGAGGAAGAGTGCATTTGGGTGGTGAAGAGAGACGGGCTATATCTAAGGAGGATCAAAAGAGACGATAAAGGCCAAAGGCTCTATGGAGATGAATTGAGAATGCCTTGGATCGGCGGTACTAACTACCACCCTGTACAAGAGGATCCATAATCCAACACTTCCATGACCAACCAATTCAGGATATATGTTAAATCTCTATTTTTGGGTATGAAATGAATATCACGATACGGAGTCTAGAAGAAACAGAACAGCTTTTGTGTCTTCCCTTTATGTAAAGTTAGCAAATTTGAGTCAATCCACAATCAACTCCAACAGCAGAAAGAGTATGAAATTCATCCGGACTAGATGATTACAATTAAGTACCTGAAAACTATTTTTGCTTAAGCTCCATATTTTGGGGCCTTCCAAAGTTTGAAAGTAACTTCATGGATGAACCGATCAGTCGGTATAACAAGATTTCCACAGAGCTACAATTAAAAAAGAGAAAGAAATAAAAACCCTTGAGACAAGCCATGCGGTATATTACAGTGGAACTTGCATTACATAGAAACCATACCTTTTTAAGAGTTTCAAATGACAATGTGTCAACTAAGTCTTTCCGGGTCACCGCATGCTGCCACTGAGCTACCAACATAGGACAGTAGTGCCTGTAGGTTGCAAGAATGACCAAAACCATCAAGAACGAAATGATAACCTCAAAAAGTTTAAATCAAATTCTTTTGGTTTTGACAAAAACAATTGAATCTCTTACCGAACATCATCCCGTGTCTTTTCACCTCGCATGGTGTAGCTCTGACGAGGGACAAGTCCTGCAAATGCCGGGTTAATGTCTTCTTGTGGAGTCTTGATGGGAAAAACTGAAACATCTTTGTCTGTGACAGAACCATAGCTAAGAACGAGAGACAGGTGCAACCGCGATACAACCTCTGAACCTGGTTGAGCCATTCTCATAATACTACCAATCAAAGAGTCGATAATTCCCATGTTGTTGTTTCCATTATTATATTGATCAACCCCGATATGCACAAAAACCGAATCATATGGGCTCACATCCAAGCACTTTCCTCCTTCAAATCCAAGTAGCTTTAGTAATTTAGATGATGTGGCATCAGAAGGAAAGGAATCACTCTCTTGGCATATTTCACTAAGTTGTAATACATCTAAGCCAATCAGTTTTCCAAAAGAAGTCAGAGTAGAACTATCTGTTACTAAAGCAGCCTTGAGTCCCATAAACCTGCAGCAGTGACATTAAAAGTAAAAACTAGCATCATCATCTAGATATACGGGCTATTGATTATCAAAAAGAGTATAAAACTATAGAGATGAGTGAAAAGTATAACCTTTCGGCCAAAGTTGAGATATCATTTCCATTTCCCTTTGGTTTTAGTCCACTCTATTAAAGAAACAGATCATGGTGTGTTAATCTCTACTGTCGTGAATAACTATGTAAACCCATGTATCAATACACACACACTCAGGTTGTTAGTAATTTGTCCTAACCACCTAACTCGGCTCACACAGAATTATATATTAGATAGTGAAGTATCATCTTACAGCTATCGAATAAGCTTCTGATGCATCCATCAAATGGGCGAATTCTCGAACTGTCCTCTCATTCTCAGTTTCTGCAATTGAAAAAACACCAGAGTGAATGAATATCCAGTAGTAGCAGAATGTCAAGCAAGTGCAATGTAACACAAGTGATCTCAAAATCTTCGTTTCTTAAGAAATTGGGTCAAATTCCATTTTTTATGTCTGCTTCAACACACATGACACTGAACAAGGATTCTATGTTGGGCAGTTAGATCAATACATTGGAGTTTTCATATTGGACTATTAGAAAAGTCTCCATCGAATCCAAACGATCTGAGGTCTTACCTGATTCAATTCTGATCAACATTAAGAAATACAATAAGTGAAAACCCAGAAAGTAGCGATTATCGACCAAAATTCAAGACAAATCAAACGGAAAGTAACCAAATTTATAAAAGATAGCGAGGGAGAGAGAGAGAGAGACCTGGAGGTGCATTAGGAAGGCTCAAGAAGCCACAGCTACCGACAGAAGCAAGAGAATGGATGTGGGTATTTGACGGATCGACGAATCGAGCCAAGCCGTCTCCGTACAATACCAGTGATCTGCTTGGTTTGTCCGCCATTCTTGTCAAAAGAGGGATTGTCTGTCGGAGAAATAAAGAGAGAGAGAGAGAGAGGAATTTATTTTCCTATTTATAATTTTTTTTATGTCATTTTGTTGTATACTATATAGTATTTTTAATTTTTTTTTGTTTGACAGCGAATTTTTGGAACCTTTTTGGCGGATACGAAATTCCCCCTATGAAGTCTAGCTAACTACCTCGCAAAAATAAACTTACAAATAAATCTTTTTTACTTTACATTAAAATGATTACACCACTAAATTGAGCTAATTTTTTGTATTGTCCTAATCGAAAACCAATAAGTACCAAAGAAAGACCCACTCTATTGATAATCTACCACATACAGTATAATACTCCGATAATTAATTTTAAAACTATATAGTAAAATTATACAGTATAGTCTATATGTATGTATGGACTGTTTGTTGACCATTGCAGCAGCATTCTCTCACTTTCCCCGCTCTTCCCCACTTGCCCACTCGTCGATCGACAGGCTCGCGACGGTTCCGGTTCTTCTTCTCCTAACCGTTCCGGTTTAATCCAGAACCAGTTCTTCTGCCATGGTGGAAGAAGGAGGAAGAAGAAGAAGATCCTCTCAACAACTAGCTCTCCTCCTACTTTTACTCTCCATCTTCCTCTGCTTCTCCGTCGTGTCTCCTCGAGCTTTATCTGATTCGGATCTGTTGGAAGAATCCGTCGCCAACTCCTCCTCTTCCGTCGCATCTCTCAACGCTTCTTCTTCAATTGTTAAGCTCAAGGAAGGTAGCTTCGCCGACATCATCGATCGTGCTCTCGAAAAAGAGTTCAACGAAAGCGACCAGAATGAAGGTAACTGTTTTTGCTACTTCAAATGGCCATTGAAAACTAGAATTCATTAGTTAGATCCTGAATTGGATCCGTGATCCATGGAAAATTTTATTGATCCCACATTCGTCTTTCCTTTTTGGGGATCTCCCAATGTGGAATAGTATGCTTCTTCTTCTAGATCGACATATATTTTCCTGAAATGGATAGTGAGTGTTTTTCTTGTTTTCTTACCGTTTTAGTCGATATTTTCCAATTATCTCTCAATGTTGTTATATTCGTGGCAGTGGCTGATCCTGGAAGCTTCAATAACAGTGTAGCTGGACAACAGGTTGGTTTTAATCATTAAGATATGCATATTTGGAAAATAGAGAGAAGTATGTTCTGTTTGTTATACAAAGTTTGACACTTTCTAGGATATTCAAGCAATTTCAAAAACACTCTCAAGTCTTTTGTTTCAAATTACAATGCTTTCTGTTGATCTCTCGTTAATTTCATAGTATGAGTATCTGAATGTGAGGTTGGTTGTTGTACCTTGTGGTGTGATCAGGCTGTTCTGGAAACTGTAGCCAGAGTAAAGTCAACCAAGAAAAATGAGACAAAAGAGGACAAGTACAAAATATTCAATTTCTAAACCTTCATTTGTATCATGTTCTAGAATTGAAGACTTATTAACCGCTATCTAATTTTCCCTAGGCGTTTCCAACTCCATGATGTTTTCAATTTGAACAATGATAACAGAGCTGAGGACACTCCTACTCTCATTGATCGAAAAGTAAGTTTTTGCACAGGAAGACTGAGTTTCGATTTGTTGTTTAACTTCTTACATGGCAATTTTGGCCTTGTGTCAGGACAATGTCTTCATCATATCCAATTCCAAATCAAAGTATCCAGTATTGCAGCTAGACTTGAGGTAAGATTCCTGGTTTTAAGTAATTTCTTTTCTAGTTCTTGGAAAAAACAGACTTTATAATTTTGAATCAATCATCTGATTTCTGCTTCTTATGGCATGTAGACTGATATCGGACCTGGTGGTTGTCATTGTATCTGCAACTTGTGGTGGTATCGCCTTTGCTTGTGCTGGACAGCCGGTCTGATTTTCGTGCTACTCTTATTCTCTGTCAATATGAACTTAGGTTTCAGTATGATGTCTTGGTTTTCTGATAGTTATGACTCATTCTGTGCTTATGCAGGTGATAACTGGATATTTGCTAGCAGGATCTATCATTGGGCCTGGAGGATTGAACTTCATCAGTGAGATGGTCCAGGTGTGCTATGTGTTTGACCTCAAAAGTTTTCAGTCTTTAGTCCACTCCCAATAACTTTTGGTCCCGAATGCTTAGTTAGGTCAGCAGTTTAGGAACTATTTTCTTCTGAGGGTCTTTGACTAAGATACTATACACAGAAAGACAGGAGTCTTTGACTAGGAACTCTTTTCTTCTGTGGGTCAGAACAAAGTTTTTATCATGCATAAGAGAGACCTTAGTTTGTCTTTGAATAGAAATCTAGAGCATTAGACTGCCACGGTGATGAGAATGTATCATGCTCATGTGGTTTTACATATATGTGATCTTACACGTGGTTTTTGCGCTTTCATTTTAACATGATTCTATATGTAGGTTGAAACAGTTGCCCAGTTTGGTGTGGTATTTCTGCTCTTCGCTTTGGGTCTAGAGTTCTCCACTGCTAAGGTGAGATCAACCTCTTTGATTTGTTTCGTGTTGAATTGAAATGTTAACACAACAAACTCTTAAGCACCTTTCCTCTTGCTATGTAGCTTAAAGTTGTTCGATCAGTTGCTGTTCTAGGAGGCCTTCTTCAAATTCTTCTATTCATGTTCTTGTGCGGGATCACAGTGTCGGTACGTCACTCTTTTTACCAGTGGTTATGAAAAAATTTCTGCTTTCATTTTTAATCATGTAATCCTGCTGTTTCCTTTATTCTTTGAGCGACATTTGGTTTATGTAGCTTAAACTGTTGTGTCTTTGAAAGTTAGAAATATACACCCTAAATCTTCTGCAGATATACTCTCTGTGACATGTTTCAACTGGTCCTGTTTGCAGTTATGCGGTGGTAAACATTCGGAGGGGGTGTTTGTAGGCGCCTTTTTGTCAATGTCATCAACTGCGGTGGTAATTTCAAAGAACTCTATAATGCTTATCTAATCATTTCCAAGCAGGTTTTTTTTTT